CCCCACTCCATTTAAAGTGCTCTGAAACAAGGTGCAGGCACTTTGCAGTCTCAGTCCGCACACATGCAATTCCAAAAGTAGAGTTGCCTGCTGTGAGACCATGATGGATTGTACATTCAATACTGCTTGGGGTCGGATGGCAGGTTGGGGCAATGGGGACTTTAGACAGTTTGTACCAACAATTACTAACCCAAACCAACTGACATTACTCAACCTCTATATGCTTCTGCTCCTTCATATGTAATACGATCAACTAACAATTAAAAACTATGTTTTTTTAATTTTTTTTTCATTTGTTCCTTTTAGATATACATGATAGTAGATTATATTTTGACACATTATACATATTGGAGTATATCTTATTCTAATTAAGACTATGGTTTAAAAAGTTTCATAAAACAAATCCCATTTGGTCACCTATAATCCTAACAGCTCAGGAAGCTGAGGCAGGAGGACTGCAAGTTCCATGTCAGTCCCAGCAACTTAGCAAGGCCCTAAGCAACTTGAACCCTGTTTCAAAATAAAAAATAAAGGGGCTAGGGATGTGGCTTATGGTTAAGTATCCCTTGTTTCAATCCCTGGTTCCCTGCCCCCCCAAAAAAATTCCAGTGCAGAGAAACAGAGAAGGCAGGGCTCCAGATAGGTAAACTGAGCTCCTGTATCTAGATTGCATGATAAATAAATGAATTTTTTTCTAATCATGTGTTTGTATAAATTCCAGAAAAAAATGAAGACAAAATGAAGAGGAAAATAAAGGGAAAAATGAAGTGAAGTGAGAATTGATTTAATGAATATTTAATATGGCGGGCTGGAACACACGCACATGCACACACACCCAAATAATACATTTCTGATTATGTGGAGGCAAGTATTGTGCCCCACAAGTTTACTAATGTGGTGTTGTAGTTCCAATACTTACTGTTTAATTTGTGCTGAAACAGACACATTTCTGTGTATATACAATATATTGAATTGTCTCAGACATTTCAGAGTATTCCCCAAATACCACCGAGTCTGACCTTTTCTGGCTGGGCACAGTGGCTCATACCTGTGATCCAAGGGGCTTGGGAGGATAGGGCAGGAGGGTCACAAGTTCAAAGTCACTCTCAGCTACTTAGTGAGGTCCTAAGTAACTCAAAGAAACCCTGTCTCTAAGTAAAATACAAAAAAGGGAAATGGAGATGTGGCTTAGTTGGTAAGTGCCCTGCCTTCAATCCCCACTACCAAAATAAATAAATAAAACATTTCTCTGAGTATTGTATAGGTGTGGAAATGGTAATCTGAGACTCTAGGGAAGGACCAGGATGTGTACTCTGACAGGGCCTCTCAGTAATTGATGTGTGCACTAAGTCCGAGGGCCACAGTGGAAGAGCAATCTTTGTCTTTCTGGAGAATAGCCAATATAGCACCCTCCCTCTGTTTTGTTCTCTGGAGATAGCAACTGGGAGGTTGGGTATCGAGAGCTCTGTGATTCTCACTGTCTTGTATCTCTAACCCCTTGGGGTTCATTATGGAAGAATCCTGTCCATTTATTTGGAAGAACCACTTAGAGAACCACCCAGTCCTCTCTGCCCTCTGTTGCACGCAAGGATCAGCCCCCAGGATACTGAAGTAGAGGGACAGAGCTGGTGAGTACTGAAGCCTTGGCCCTGCCTTGCCTGGTCCAGGACATTTCTGAACTGGACATGGAGGTGATGCTCCCAAGAACAGGAGGAGGTGGTGTCTTTGGCTGAAAGGTGTTAAATACTCCTTCATCTGCAGAATGTTAACAAAGAATTTAAAAAGAAAAAGAAAAAGAAAGGTTTCATCCCTTTTAAATGCTGAACCTTACTTAATTCACTGTCTGCATAGAGCCCTATGTGTGCCCTTTTGTCTGTGCATGGGTGCTGGGGTTTCTCCCACCCTCTGGCTCTTGTGAACAATGGTGCTAGGAACAAGTGTGTACAAATATCTCTTTGACACCCTGGTTTTGATTAGTATAGGTAGAAACCCTGACACAGAGGTAGAATTGCTGAATCCTTTAGAAATCCTTTTCTAAATTTCCAAGGAAATTTTCAATATTGTAACACAGAAAATGGTCAAGACTCTACTCTTGCATTTTTAAATTTTCAAGTGTGCATTCCATTCATGCATCCAAAATGTTCAGTGAGGAATAGTGAGGCAGCTCACAGCCTGTGGGTCAGGAAAGCGAGGCCCAGGGACCATCCCACACCTTGCTGCACCTTTCCTCTCCTGCTCTAGGCCTCTCCCTGTGGTACCAAATCTTCTGCTGCTGCATCTTTAACCTTACTATTCCTAATAAAAATAACAGCAGCAATAACTTAGCTACAGAGCCTTAGTCATTGGAAGCACACAAACATTGCTGAGCCTCTTTTCTCTCCATTTTAATAAATTAATGTCCTTCTTCCTTTGCTTCATAAATGTCCTGTGGTCTATGATCCCAACACTGGCCTGGAAGTTAGCATTGGCTGATCCTGCAGTGCCCTTTCCCTCCCCAGCCAGATGAATGCACAGGGAAGACTGCTTGCTCCACTCCTTTGCTCTCTCCAGAGACAGTGCCTGCCACCCTCCCTCCACTTGCATTATGAGTATGCACCCTTCCAAAGCTCACATTTTAGATGAATAATTTCGGTTGTATATTTTTTTAATTTTTTTTATTGGTTGTTCAAAACATTACAAAGCTCTTGACATATCATATTTCATACATTATATTCAAGTGGGTTATGAACTCCCATTTTTACCTCAATTACAGATTGCAGAATCACATCGGTTACATTTTTAAATTTTTAATTAACACATAAAATTTGGACATATATTTAGTGTACCTTGTTTTAGGTCTATGTAGATAACAGAGATAGTAGAAATATATGCACAAAGTACAATAATCAGATCAAGGTTATTGGGATTTCCATCTCCTTAAACATTGCTCATTTCCATGGGCTAGGAACTTTTGAACTCATCTCTTCCAGTTCATTATAAAATGTGTAATACACTGTGCTCACTGACAAATACCTGTGATCCCAGCTTCTCACCAGCTGAAGCAGGAGGCTCTCAAGTTCAATGCCAGCCTTGGAAAATTAGCAAGTCTATCTTTCAACATAAAAATAAAATGCCTGGGAATATAATCAATGTCTTCTGAGTACTTCTGTATTCAAATGCCAGTGTCAGAATAATATCTGAAAAATTGTAGCAGGTTTTGCAAACCATAGTCACCCTACAATATTGTAAAACATCAAAACGTATTTATCCCACCCACCTGTATTTGGTACATTGTATCTGACCTCTTGTTTCTCCTGACTCCCTCCTGTCCTGGGCTTCAGTGATCACTACTCTACTCTCTCTTTCCAGGACCTCAATTTTCCAGCCTTTATATATGAGTGAGAACAAGTAGTATTCTTTTTTTTTTTCTTCCTGACTGGCTTATTTCATTTTCTCTCATTTCCAGCAGCATGCATAGAACTAGAAGAGTTTCATTTTTGGCAGTGGGGGTGGGGGTGTACCAGGGATTGAATTCAAGGGCACTCGACCACTGAGCAACTCTCCAGCCCTATTTTGCATTTTATTTAGAGACAGAGTATAAATGAGTTGCTTAGCACCTTGCTTTTTCTGAGGCTGGCTTTGAACTCTTGATTCTCCTACTTCAGTCTCCCAAGCCTTTGGGATTACAGGTGTGCGCCACCATGGCCTGACTAGAATGGTTTCATTTTGACATGGCAAAACCTTGTTCAGTAATATATTTGCTCTTAGAATTTTTCAATCTTGCGGATTTTCTGCCTGCTATGAAAGGTAAGGATAGCTAGGAGTTCATCAGCACATGTGAAAGTATTAGAAAGGCCAGATACTGAGGCTCTGGGAAGGCACAGTGAGCACTAGAAGGTGTAGCAACTTATTTTTGTTTTAAAGATCAGATGATAGCTTGGCACAGTGGGCCACATGTATCTTTCCCTTTCCTGGGAGCGGAGGCAGGGGGATCACAAACTGGAGGCCAGCCTGAGCTACTAAATGACACCCTGTCTCCAAGTAGAAAATACAAAGGGAGAGAGGGTGGTGTCCATCTGTGGTGAGTTGCCAGCACCACTAAAAGAGAGGTTGGGAAGTGGGAATTTCTACTTTGGGTGTAATGTTTCTCTAGTAGGCAAAATATAGATTCAGCTTTTTGATAATGAACTTCATGTAGGAATATAAGAAATATGATGAATCACCATTCAAAAAGAAAAATAGAAAATCTAGGGACCCAATAATTAAAATTTTATAGAACCCAAAAGAGTTCATTGAGGCAGACTTAAAATATAAAATATTTGAATAAATGCATGAATAATGGGATTTATTACAATAACATAGTAAAGCATGTAAGGTTATAATTTTTAGTGATACCTGAAATCAGAAAAGATGAGCATATACAGAGAAATTATGTGAACTACACACTGGAGGTTCTGTGGCAAAATATTGTTAATTGAAATTATATAGGCCCCAAAGGAGTTGGTTGGTGTAGTTTTGAAATATGTAATATTTGAATAAATACAAGAATGATATCATTTCTTACAATAAGGTAGTAGAGAATGTGAGATTACAATTTTTAGCATATACCTAAAATTAGAAAAGATGAAAATATTCAGAGAAATTATATGAGCTACATGCTTGAGCTTCTATAGTAAAATGTTGTCATCTGACCAAGTTGGATGCTTTATTAAGGAACTACTAGAGTTTAAGACTACATTTAAAGATAGCATTCAAACTTCATAGGTTCTCAAATATAAATACCACATGTTTATTATTGAATTGTGGTATTAAAAATGCACACACTTAATTTTCTGTATTAGAATGTAAAAACTTAGTCAAGAATTAGTGGGTAAAGGAAGAAGTGAGTAGGAGAATCTCAAGAGAAGAATTTCTTAAAGATTTCAGATTTTAAGTCATGGACCAAAGTCCTCTGTCCCACACTGATCTCTCTGTATTCCATTGTCACCTTGTCCCTGTCCTCCAGCAGGGTCTTCAACAACATGGAGCCAGAAAATCTAACACAGATTGCAGAATTCCTCCTCCTGGGACTCTCAGAGGACCCAGAGCTGCAGCCCATCCTCTTTGGCCTGCTGCTGACCATATACCTGGTCACCGTTGTTGGGAACCTGCTCATCATCCTGGCTGTCAGCTCTGACTCCCACCTCCACACCCCCATGTACTTCTTCCTCTCCAACCTGGCCCTCACTGACATCTGTAGCACCTCCACCTTAGTCCCTAAGATGCTGCTGAACATCCAGACAGAAAGCAAAGCCATCTCCTATGCAGGCTGCCTCACTCAGGCATATTTTTTCATGGTTTTTCTATGTATGGACAATTTACTGCTGACTGTGATGGCCTATGATCGCTATGTGGCCATCTGCCACCCCTTGCATTACATGGTCATCATGAACCCCCGCCTCTGTGTCCTGCTGGTTCTAATCTGTCTGCTCATCAGCACTGTGGATGCCCTGGTGCATGCTCTGATGTTGCTGCGTCTGTCTTTCTGCAAACACCTGGAGATCCCCCACTTCTTCTGTGATCTGACTCAGATCCTCAAGGTAGCCTGTTCTAATACCCTCATCAATAACACTATTTTATTGTTAGCAACCATCCTCTTGGGTTTTGGTCCTGTCTCTGGGATAATTTTCTCATATGCTCGAATTGTCTTCTCCATCCTGAGAATCCCATCTACTGGTGGAAAGTATAAAGCTTTTTCTACCTGTGGGACTCACCTGTCTGTGGTTTCCCTGTTCTATGGGGCTTCTATTTGGGTTTACCTGAGTTCTGCTCTTACTGATTCTCCCAGAATGAGTGCCATGGCCTCTGTGATGTACACTGTGGTCACCCCCATGCTGAACCCCTTCATTTACAGCCTGAGGAACAAGGACATGAAGGGCGCTTTGAGAAAACTCATCTTAGGAGTATTTTCTTTCTTGTGATCTGTCACATGTCCTGGTGTGGCCTTCTAGAGTGAGTCATAGACCATGAAACATTGGGCATATATTATGTTTTGGATATGAGTTGTCCCTATAAAAGCTCATGTGGCAATGCAGGAGTGTCAAAGGTGATATGAATACACTATGAGATGGTAACCATATTCGTGGATTAATTCATTAATAATTTAATGTATTACTGGGAGGTAATTGTAGACAGGTGGGATATGGCTAGGTTGAGTATATCACTGGGGGCATGTCCTTGAATGACAAATTTCGTCTCGGGTCCCTCTCTCCGTCTCCATTCTGGCTGCCATCAGTCAATCATCGGCCAAGAAGCTTTCTCTGCCATGCTGCTCTGACTTACCTCTAGTCCACAGATATGAATGTGGACAACTATGGACTGCACCTCAAAAACCATGAGCCCAAAATAAACCTTTTCTCCTTTTTCTCCTCTGTGTTTTTCTTTTCAGACTTTTTAGTCACTGCAATGAAGAGCTGATTAAAACAGTAGCCATGGCCCAGGGTTGTGGCTCAGGGGTAGAGCGCTTGTCTAGCATGTGTGAGGGTTCGATCCCCAGCACCACATAAAAATAAAAACAAATAAATAAATATTGTGTCTATCTACAACTAAAAAGCAAAACAAAACAAAAAAGCAGGATGCCAGAATCCCTGAGTCTGACTTAATCCTATTTTCCTAGCCAATGTTCAACTATGGGCTTTAAGAAAATAGCTTTGTAAGAAATCCTGTTTTCCTGTGTTTTACTCCATTTCACAGACCCATTACCTTGATTCTCCGAGTTCAGTTTCCACACCTGTGAAAGGGTCAGACAAGTGTCACACGTTGGTAGTTATTTAGGGACTATATCTGTCTTATATGTGTGTGTGAGATATTTTAGTGTCTGGTATATACACTAAAATTGATTGCATTAAGCAAATAGAATCAAAGCAGTAGTTATTGGTGTACATCCTGTATTAGTAAAATTGTAGTGTCAGAACCTGCTGACAATCTGTAATTCCTGGTACAGCAGAGATGCTTAAAGAAAGACACATGCACAGACACACACATCCAGTAGAAATGAGCACTGTCTTTACTTTTTTCTCTCCTACTTTTATACAGCATTGTTAATTAAAACAAGGGAAAAGAAAAAGCATCCTTTCAGCAGCTTAATCCTTACAAATATGGATAAATATTCTCAGGAAAACTTTGTTTATGGTCACAGTGCTCCATATTTCTTATCAATTAACTTGTGGTTAGTTATTCCAGGCAAACACACACACACACACACACACACATATATATGTAAAATTTATATATATATATATATATTACACTTGGCAGAACTTTCTTTTCTTTTATCTTCTTAAGACAGCAACAAGGACACAGTTCAAAGAGTTCATACTTTCTCACAGAACTCCTGTTTTGCTAAGCACAGCAAAACTTAACTGTTTGTGTGCGTGAGCACACAGTTCCCCCTTAAATAGCAATGACGGCGATTGCGCCTGTCTTAGGTTGTGAACCATACTGCCACATTCTTACCCAACATGGAGGACTTCCATTGATGGGAAATGAAAGCCTCTGTCTTAGGTTGATATGGGCAGTGATTCATCTTACCCGTCATTGGCAACAATCATCCAAACCATCGGGGGGTGGGGGGGGCGTATGAAGTCACCACAGGAGGACGAGATAAGAGACAAGTGATCATACAGTGACCAATGAAACAAACAAGTATAAACATGCCAACTATCAAAATCACACATATCATTAATTCTTTTAACCAGGAAATATTAGGAAACCAAGATGTTAACCATGAAAATAATTCTTCATTTCCTTCATATTGTCTGATATTATCAATCATTTCTTTCAAATGATGAATTTCTGTATCAATAGGAACACTGTTATCTGTCAGATTAAAGCAACACATATTTTTTACTTGAATACATTTTTTATGGTGTAACAATAGTAAATAATCTATAGCAGCATATTATCCAAAACTCCTTGTCGTAAAACCTGCTGTTCTTCATTCAACAAGGCTAGAGCAGTAGATGTACAATTAATGTTTTTTGCCATTACACATGCCAATTTCATAGCTGTCTTATAAGCTCCTGCTGCCGATCCAGGGATCCCCACAAGGGAAAAGGTCAATGCATCAAACTCTGCTTTAGATAATAAATTTATATCGTCCATACAGTCCGATGTTAGCATAGCCATTCTTCGTAAGCGACGAAAAGGATGTTCAGGAAGCAAATCATCAAAGGAGGGAAGGAAAAGTGTGAGGTGACTAACAGCAACGTGTTCCATGAGTCATATTTGCCAGTATGTAGTTGAATGTATAAGTTCCACAGGAAAAAAAAAAAAAACAGCCTCTTGGAAGTGGCACATGTCCATAACTTGAAGGAACCGCAAAGGAATTATTACATGCAAAGGAAGGTCCCATAGATCTACATTTAGTTGCACAATTGTGAAACTCAGTGCAGGTGTCATTATCTGTTACAATAACAGTAGTGGTTATAACTTGAACTGCATTGTGGAGTAGGCAATAAGAAGGGGTGCCCCAATTAGAATAATCAGCATAAGTAATAGTTTTATCAAAATTGGAGGAAAAGGTCATATTTTTTTATTTCTTCTGCTGGATGACAGACAGGAAGCAAACAGGAACCCAATACTGCTCCCAGATGGACATCTTGTTTTAGGCAGATATTATCAGTCCCTGCCAATTGAGCCAATCTCATCCATACATTGGTATGATTGAAAGAGGCAACTTTCACAGCTCCAAAAAGGAGAAAAAAGGTTAGGGACAGCATCTATAAGATATAAAACAAACCAAAGAGGTAAAAGAATTCATGATATATTTTTGGAAGAGTCAAACCGTATTAAACGAGAAGGAATCCATTGAGGTCCAGGATCATTTTGTGGAAAAACACAGGCAGCTCCTTTTCCACACATTAATACAGGATCAGGACCCATCCATTGTCCTGTTAAAACATCTTTCCACCTTACAAGTGGATGGGCTGTTTGTCCCTTAGCATGCCATAAGAGATCTGAAGCTGTCAATTTTGTAGCTGGGTCTACAGTTAAAAAATTTAAAGTAAATAATACATGTGCCAAACGAGAGCAGGGACTGCCGCTATTCCCTCCTTTTGTTTTTGACAGATATGCTTTAAGAGTTTGATGAACTCGTTCTACTATACCCTGTCCTTGAGGATTATAAGGAATACCTGTTGTGTGTTTACATCATAAGTGTGAAGAAATCTTGCAAATTATGTACTAGTATATGCTGGTCCATTATCTGTTTTAATATATTTAGGGAGACCCATAATGGAAAAAGCTTCCATACAGTGAGCAATTACATCTTTGACTTTTTTCCCTAAATGAGGAGAAGCATAAATGAAATGAGAGTAAGTATCTATAGACACATGAACATATGCTAATTTGCCAAAAGAAGGATAATGAGTAATATCTATTTGCCATAAATTACCTGGTAAAAGGCCTCTAGGATTAATGTCAAAATTAGGAGAGTGTATCTGTGCAGAGCAGAGGGAACAATCGTGAATAATTTGAGAAGCCGCTTCACGAGGAATTTTATAATGATGAGCTAAAGAAGAAGCATTAAGGTGAAATTGAGGATGTAAAGTTTGGGGATCCCTAGATAGAAAGGCAGACATTTTTGGAGGCTAAATCAGCAGCAGCATTTTTTTTTTTTTACTAAGTGGTCCTGGTAAAGTTGAATGACCTTTGTGTCTAATAAAGAAACCTTTAATTCTGTTACTCAGGGCTGGATAATCATACTAACAAATACCAAGCCTACCTGTGTAGGTTAGGAATATCTGTAGGCCTTAAACTAAAAACTTCTGTCTCTGGCATCTCCTCTTGATAGTCTCTTTTTATAGTTATCAGACATTTCTGTCTGAGAGTCCTTCTTTGTAGCCTCCAGTCTTACTTATCTTACTTATCTCAGGCTAACATAAGGTGTATACCTTAAATTATTATTATTATTATTATTATTATTATTATTATTATTATTATTATTATTTAAAATGCCCAGGAATGGCTGTGTTTTGGTTTTAACTGTCTTTGCTGAGTGTTTAAGATGAAACAATTAAACTGACTTTTGTTTTTATCTATTATTAATAGTCAGCTGAGTGTTTATGGGAGTCATTCCTGGGGAAACTTTACAGCAGCTTCTCAGTTCTGCTAGTGCCATTTGCGCTAGGATGGGACCAGGTCTTGCTTGAACATGTGGCTTCCCTCGGAAGCATCAGGGATATCTTCCTTCTCTAATGACCCTCCTCTTTATAGCAAATGCACTGATTGGCTTTCTGTTCTCCAGTGGTCTCATTAATCTCCCTGATCGAGAGGTCATGTGGCCCAGAGTTGCAAAGCTCTTTAGAGAAGTCCCTTGTTCCCTCGATTCAGACTGACTCAGAGGGCAAGAGCCAAATATTGGTTTTCTTGGCCCTTTTGATTTAACTTTAATTTTAAATCTTTATCTTAAACATCCAGCAAATAAATTTTAACAGCCTTATATTAAGAGTACTGGGCTTTAATGTCTATAACTTTATAATTATTTATCTTTTTATTAATTGGGGTCTGTATTATCCTATCTGTCTCGTAGGTGATGGCTTATTAACTTAAATTAACCCAGGTTGTGTGTTTTTAAAGCAACACCTCTGCAAAACATTAACAGGCAATCTTTAGACTGTTTATAAGAAAACCACAAAATAAAATTAAAAAGGGTGAAAACATATTTAGTTCGTGTAATAGCTACCTTGAATTTTGGCTGAGTTATACATTATACCCCCTGTTTGAGATTTTAGTAATCTTGACAGAAAAAAAACGACTTTTGAACATAACTTTAAATGAACTAAAATCTGGCCTACTGCTTTTGTAGTCATTCTCACATGTAGTAAGATGGGACACAGAGCCTTATCTCAGGTAAGGCAGGGCTTTTTATAAATCTTAAGTGTTTTAGTTCTAAAGTTGACCTTTGTCTTTTAAATATCATTTTTCAAAGTTTACATAAATTGTTTGAGGTCACATGAACATTAGCTAACACCATATGATATCACATTTAAAACATGAATTAAAGAAAGGCTGAAAATTTTTAACCATTTGTGGAAAGATAGCAAAATATTTTGTGCTTTACAATATTAACCTTTACATAGATTAGGCTCTCATTGACTTAAAAATACATTTAAATTATTTCCCAATGTAAAAAGTAATATAAAACTTTACATATCTTATTGATAACAGTTAATAAATCCCCAATATGTTTTTTAAGCTTAAAATTACCATACAACTTTAGAACACCAGCTTGATATAATGCTCTTTTAAAGCTTCCACCTTACAGACTTCTATACCTGGAAGATATGAGCACATTAATAGCATCACAATTACATTGATGTTTTTATATTAACCAAGTTTAGCTTTTAAAGAAATGACAGTGCAATGCTCTAAAATAACAGTTCTTATTTAATCAGTTGTTTAATTTTTATGATTGCTTGCTCTTAGAAAAAATAAAACTTAATAAACACAATGTTATGGGTAAACTTATGTTTTAAGAAATTTTTGTCTTTTTAACACATGATTGATTGTAAAAACAAACTTATACAGACCTTAGTAAATCAATCAGATATCTAACAAAAATACTCATGAATGAGTAATCCCATATCAAATTTACTTTACTTATTTTATCAAAATATTAGACAAGTATATTGAACAGTGATAGCCATTTTTTGTTGTTGTTGTTGTTGTTGAAGGAAAAGTCCTAGAACCAAGGCATATTCGACATTTTATAGACATTAATACTTTATTAGTTTTTTTGAACACCTAGAAAAACTTGTAAACTTAAATTTAAAGACATTTATTTTTATCTGTTTATTAAATTTAAATTGAACCATTTTAATCACGTGAATTAAAGATCTTTGGATCCATTTTTTTAAATTTTTATGAGTGCTCCTTATATATTTTAATTTGTATATCATATATATGATATATGGACATATGCACATATAGACATACAACACATAACACAAGTGTGCACACATAACACAATAGTAAAGGCCTTGTAGCTTTTTGCAGGTGAAATCTCCATTGCAATGTCTTAAAAACTCCACAGTTGTCAAAAATAGAACTGATCAGAAAAACATTAACCTACGTCTGTAGGATCAAAATCATGAGTCCAAAAAATTCCAGAATCTAAGAAAAAGCAAGAGTCCTAGAAAAAAATGACTGGCCAGTAATTAGTAAATACCATACAATTTACTTTTTTTTTTTTTTAGGCCTCATGTCAGTCTCGTACTGAGCTTGCAGGCTTCCTTTATTTGCATTTTAACGTAAGTTTTGACTGAGGTCTGGAAGGAGCAGGGAAAACTGTTATTCTGAGCAGACACCTCATGTATAAGGCATTTTAACCATAAGTCATAATTTTTAGATTTGAATGTTGAGAATTATGATACAAGTTTAAGACACAATTCACAAAATTTTATATCTTTACATCTTGCTTTGTCAACAGATACCATACTATGATTTGCTATCCTTGTCCAAATTAATGCACTGGTACACACAGTGACATTTTGTTAGGCTACCCAATTCAAAATTGGAGAAAAACTGAATGATTGGGAGTTACTTGTCAACTTGGAAGTAAAGTTCTTTAGTTTTCCATCCTAAGTATTTAAGTTCTCTGGCATGAATTATCTGAAATCATAAACTGAACAATTACCTAAACCCAACTTTTAACTGCAAGATTGTGCAATACTTCTAAAACCCATTTAGATAAGTAGACAGAGGTAGCATAATCCTCACAGTGCAGGGAAGGAAGGCGGGAGTTCCCCGAAGCAAAAAAGGGCTTCCGCAGTGCTGGGAGTCCCTCGGTCCCTCCTTTTACTTACAGGATTAGCTCCTCTTTTGTAGAAGGTGGATCCTCTGTTTTAAATTTAGAAGCGTCATAAATGGGGGCCTCATCATCTGAGGAATCACTTTCACTCACTGAAACTATTGATTCCCTGTCCTGAACCTCCATCCAAGTTCCCCGTGTCTGCTGTAAAAATTCACGCACTTTTACATCTGGAGATAAAAGTGCATCTTTTACCAACTTCCACAAAGAAAAAGTAGCTACAGGTAAACTGTCCAGACCCTTTTCCCTTAAATATTTTTGCAAATCTTCTTTTACATGTTCCTAAGCAGGAACCATTAAATTCCCTGAGTGCAAAAACCAAGGAGATGCAGTTTTAATAGCAAGCATAAAAACAGAAGCTGTTTTTCTATTAATTACAATTCCTTGCTCCTTAAGCAAAGTCATAATTGCCTGTTACATTTGACTTCTTGAGATTTTTGATCCCATGGTACCTCTCCCCTTCACTTACCTTTGCCAGTAAGTGGAATCTCTGCTGCCCACCCAGGGACGCCGTCTGTCAGACCCGCTGACAATTTGTAATTCCTGGTACAACAGAGATGCTTAAGAAAGACACACGAGCACACACACAAATTCAGTAGAATATAAGCACCATCTTTACTTTTTTCTCTCCTTCTTTTATACAGCATTGTTAATTAAAACAAGGGGAAAGAAAAAACATCCTTTCGGCAGCTTAATCCTTACAAGCATGGATAAACATTCTCAGGAAAACTTTGTTTATGGTCACAGTGCTCCGTATTTCTTATCAATTAACTTGTGGTTAGTTATTCCCAGGCAACCACACACACACACACACACACACACACACACACACACACACACACATATATATATATATATATATATATATATATATATATATATATATATAAATATAAATTTTACACTTGGCAGAACATTCTTTTCTCCTATCTTCTTAAGACAGCAACAAGGACACAGTTCAAAGAGTTCATACTTTCTCACAGAACTCCTTGTTTTGCTAAGCACAGCAAAACTTAACTGTTTGTGTGTGTGAGCACACATCAAATATTAATGAAATTTTATCAGGAAGAGTGGTTCTGGGAATTGAACACAGGCCCTGCACATGTGAGACACACCCTCTTCCACTGAACCACTTAATCCTCACTAAATCACTTCTCACTTCACCCCTTTCCCTTTCAAGTATCATCAATTTCCTCTTGATTTTCTCCTCCTTTCTGCCAGAATTTATAAAGATAACTGAACTTGCAAAAAATCCATTTTGTTTTCTTATGTAATTTATGTATGATATAGAAATGCATTTCTCAGTATCCAGACTCAAGGAGGGTCCCTTTTCATGCTTCTGTGATTTATCTTGACATTGTTGCATTGTGGTCAGAGAATATACTGCCCATATAATTTTAATTCTTTGTATTTAAAAATATGCCTATAACTGGGCATGGTGGTATTTGCCTGTAATCCCAGTGACTGCAGATAGTCATGCAGGAATATCTCAAGTTCAAGACCATCCTTAGCAATATACCAAGGCCATAAACAACTCAGTAAGATCCCATCTCAAAATATAAACTGATCATTGCTGGGGCTGTGGCTCAGTGGTTATGTGCCTCTGAGTTTAATCTCTGATACCAAAAACAAAACAAAAAAGTTACCTACATATTGCTTTTGGTCATATTTTAGTGAAGAGTCCATCTGTGCTGATTAAATATATACATAGTCTTTTGTTTTCTTCCTTCCTTTTTTTCTTTTTCTTTTTGCTATTGTTGTTTATCTGGTCCACAGGTAGAAATGTGAAGCACTTAACCACTGAGCTATAACATTTTTCATTTTGTGACAAAATCAATCACAATTGACAAGGCTGGCCTTGAACTTGAAATCCTCCTGCTTCAGTCTCCCAGCTAGCTGAGATTAAAAGACATGTGGATCCTATAGTTACAGTTCTCTGCATTTCCCATCAGTCCAACTTGGAAATCATATTCAAATCTGGGCGATGCTTTCTGATTTTATTAGTCTCCTTGGTGAACAATTATGAGAAGATGTGTGGTGAATTCACCCAGGATATTATTTTGCTTGTCTATAGTAAAAATTCATTCAAGTAACCATCAGGTGGGTGCAAATTCAGAATTGCCTCTCTTGTGATTACCATGGATTTTTCATGTTTATGAAATCACCTTTGTCATCTCTGAGCTTCTTTTGCAGGAGGGTCTGCTCTGCCTGACGGGAACCCAGTGCAGTTACACAGGCTTCCCTGGGTTCTCCAGATGACGGGAGCCTGGAGCAGTCCATACTTGCAGGTGGCTTACTTCCCATTCGCCCTAGTTTCTACCAGGCCAAAGAGGAAAGTGCTGGACTCTCAGCCTTCACCCCTGCCCTGCACACACCCTCAGCTCACATTGGGCCCTCAGGCACCCCTCCCAGATCCCACCAGGGGTGCCTGGTTCAGCTCTCTGGGGTCCTGTCCTCTCCGTGTCTCTACACGGTGATTTGTTGCATCTACCTTTACTTACATTCTGTTTTTAATTTTTAAATGAATTAATGTTAGTTCCTGTGCTATAGATGGGTATGCAGAGGCACACAGAGGTTGATTTATATCCCCATTATTGCACAGCTCATGAGGGTTAATAGAGGTCTGGACACTGACCACCCACAGTCCATACTGTGCCCACCACGCCATGCTGCCTGAACAAGCAGTGAATCTATAAGTCGTCCTGGTTACACAGCAAGGAACTCTCTGAATTTACCCCTGTGTGAGCCTAGATCATGAATGGCGGTTCTTTCATTTAGAGCCCCTCAAGGAGAGCCTGGGAGCTCCGTGGACATCCTCAGGGGAGTTCATTTTGTGAGCTGAGAGGTTTGTGGGTTGAACCCAGGGCCTTGCACATGCTAGGATAGTGCTCTGCCTGTTTGTTTTGTTTTGTTTTAATTATTTGGGACAGGTTCTCCTCAGTTACCCAGGTTGACTCAAACTGTCAATCTTCCTTTCTCAGAGTCCAGAGTCCCTGGGATTACAGCAGGTGTCACTGTGCCAGGCACAGTGTTGTGGAACTGGTGTGTCCTGGGCCATTGCTTCCCCTTCCTATACACACAGCAGATGAACAGCAGAATGCAACAGACCTTGGGCTCCACAAACTGCCACTGGCCTCCACCTGTCATAGTGTGTTCCCAACAACTTGTCCAGGTGGAATTTTTGTCATTCCCTGTCCCTTGTCCTCAGAACACATACCACTTACTCCTAGACTTTTAGTAGAATATAAAACATTAGAAAAGAACATCAGGTAGAAAGCAGATCAAAGGAAGGACAGGGCTGTCATTGTAAAGATCCACAGGTCTCTCTAGACTAGTCACACCCAAGTGAGTCTCTTTCTCAGACCATTCTTTCTCAAATTTTAGGGAAATTTGTAATCCTGAAAGGTACCCCGTATTCACCCAGGGTTAATCCGTGCATTGTTCATCGCCTTATGCACTATACAGAATAATATCTGGAGAGGAACCCTGCATCCCCTCTAAAGCCCTCTGTCCCCAGCATGTGCAATGGCAGCCTCTGTGATGTGAGGAGGCTCTTGAAGATCTCCTTTGCTAGCAAAGCAGTCAAATTTCTTTCTTCCTTTTTTTTTTCTAAAAACCTTGTCCTGGTTATTGAATCAGCATCAGGGACAGGAACTGTTGCCATTGGGATTTCCAGTTGAAGTCCAGGACCTTGGGGTCAGGAACAAAGAACTGAGCAAGACACCAAGAAGTAACAGAGTTTATTGAAGGTAAAGATGGCACTCCATTAGGTAGAACACAGTGGGCCCAGACGGGGGCTCAAGACCCCAATGTCTGGAATTAGAGTCTACATATATCCTGAACTGTGGGATATTCTCTTGCCTATACAGACCTGATTGAAGACCTCACTCCATTTTCTCCAATTGGTTGTCTTCAGATACCTGATTTAAATATTTTCCAATCCCCCCTCCACCATTGGTTACTTTAGAAAACATAATTAGAATACTATCCATTTTATTTCCGTTAATCATGTTAAAATTTGAACCTATGGCAAGAGTTGTCACGGTGATAAGTCCTCAGTGACAGGAGTTGTCATGGTGATGTCCCCAGTGCCTGAGGTTCTCATGGTAATGGGATTTATTGTAAACAAGGACAAGACTGGTCTCTGTCTTGTCCTCCATCCGTTTCTTGTTAATACCCTGTCTCCAGGTATTAAACAGGTTAATACTCTGTCTCCTATTAGGTCCTACCTATAGGACCGAGCTTTCCCTGATACCTGGTATGTGCATCTGCTTTCCTAAATGAATCTCCATGTCTCTGACTGAAATGGGCTGAAATTCTTTCCCATCATGTGTGTCAAGGACCCCACTCATCCTGAGTCCAGGCCTCCTCTCCAGGAACTGCTCAGTCCTCTTCCAGTGACAGACTCTGGGTCTCCAGCTATTGCAATTCCTTAAAAGAAATAGAAAGAACTCCTTTTATCTGAAGCTGATTATGAATTTGTTTTTAGGTTTCCTGACACCAGGAACTACTTAGCAGCAATTTTACGTTCATTGCCGTGTGGGAAAGACTTGCAAATGTCCATGTTCTCCACTCCCGGCTCTCAATGTGGAGTTCCTGGACCAACAGAATCAGCATCACCTGGAATCGTGACAGAAGGAAAATTCTAGAATCTCTCTGAAGATCTAGTCATTGCCAGATTCTCCCATAGACCTCAAACATGTGTGTTTAACAAGCCCTTTGGGAATTAAGATGCATGCCAGTTGTGGGGCCACAGTGGTATAACAACCTTCTTCTTTCTGGAGAATACCCACCTCGTCATTCTTTGTCTCTTTTGTGTCCCCTGTGTGTGGATCTGGGAGGCTGGGTGCTGAGGACTTTGTGATAATCCATAAGTTTTGTTGTTCTTCTTCTTTTTATAATCTCTAACCCTCAGGGGCTCATTACACATAGTTCCTGTCCTTTATTTCTAAAGACATTTGTAGACCTTAAAAGGAGCATCCAGTTCTTACATGAATCTCTGTACCATCAAAGATCCTTCTTCCAAGTGCTGGAGTGAGGAGGGGACCAAGGTGGTGAGTGAGAAAGCCCTGTCCTTGCGTGCACTCCTCCAGGAGACCCATTGCCCTCCTCATTCTAAGCTGGACACTTCTGTGATTCTAACCAAAAACAGGCAGAGGAAAGATCAGCATCTCCCTCGATGGTGCTAACTGTTGTCCTCTCTGCAGTTTCCTGGCTGAGGGAGAGAGAGGGGCCAGGGTGAGTGGGGGACTCTTCCCTGAGAAGGGCTTTTCCGTGCATGCAGAGGGAGACATGAGGGGTGGGTGGTTTCACAAATCTCCATCTAGGAGAGGGACATCAATGAAGCTACTCAGAAAGTGTTCCTCCAATGCTTTTTACGAATTAATTTTTAAGTTGTGGTAAAATAGACATAAAAGTTCTATGGTTACAACCACTTTAAGTTGCCACTATTACAGCCTGAATGAATGCTCTTGATGTTTTGGACATCACTCGCGTCCATCCTCAGGACACTTTCATCCTGCAAAACCATCTACACTAACTCCTCACTCTCTGCCCCCAGCCCTCACAGCCCCGCTCCTGTCCCCGTCTCTGTGAATGTCAGTACCTGGTGTCCCTTGGAAGTGCAGGACAGCCTCTGCCTTTCTGTGGCTGCTCACATCACCAAGCACAGGGTCCTCCAGGCTCAGCCTGTTGTGGGAAACGACCTTCTGGGGAGGGCAGTGGCTACTCTGCTCTACCCACAGCCTTCCTGGTTGCCTTCACTCCTCTGTACCTGGACGCTTGCTGGTCCTGTGAATAATGCTGCTGATAAATTAGCTCCTCAACTTCTTCACACTGAGATTGGATGCTGAGCAGAGAGAGCTGGACCTGACCAGGGCTGGCCAAATCCAGTCTATGCTCCTTTCTGATGAATGCAGCCTGCCACAGTCTACATATGCATGTCAGTTGCCTTTTATCCCCCTTTTATCTGTCTTATAAAAGCATTGTGTGCCCCTGATTCCTGGAAGGTGGAGGTTTGAGACAGAAAATAGCTCTCCTCTGTATTCCTCAAAGCTACCGGTAAATAAAACCCGTTTTCCTGCCTGTGCCTCACTCCACAGCTCTAGTTCTCCCCCTAATGGTGAAGGAAGTCCACTACAGTAAATGTGAGGTACACATTTAATACTCTGCTTCCAATTGTTTGTGGATAAGCAAACCCAGAACTGTAATTACAGGATGACAATTAACACTCTTTTAATCATGATTTAGTTTTCAATGGGGTCTTCCTATCTTACCCCGCTGAGCCTGAACTCCTGGGCTCTAGAAGTATTTCTGCCTTGGCTTCATGAGTAGCTGGCATATATGCCACTGAGACCATATTTATTAATTCTGTTTTTAATTTTCTGAGAAAATCTTTAACATTTTAACAGAAAATGTATGAAGACTTTCTCATTGCATTTTTTTATTTCTGGAAATATATAAGCATCATTATGTTTAAAGAGCCCTTAGTGAGTGTCAATGAAGCCCGGGTGTCAGTATATCCAGGGGAAAGGGAAGGTTTTAAACACAGCTGAAACTTTTCTCTCCTGTGTTGTAGCAAGACAACTTCCTCTTCTTACAACAATTATACCATTGTTAGTAAAGTAACAGCAGCAATAATTAGAGCTAATATTTCCAGACTCTACATCACGTCCCTAGCACAGTAGACTTCTCCTGATTAACATCTACAATGCTTAGTCCTTCAAATCACTCAGCTGAACTTGGCTCCATTTCATTTCCCCGTCCTGTGCGGAGGAATGTTCTTCTTCTCTCACTTCGTAATGCATCCCATGGTCTCTGATCCTTTAAAGTGGCCGGAGCGTCAGCAATGCCTACTCCAGCTGTCCTCTTCCCCACCCTGACCAGGGTACAGGCAGAGAGAAAAACATGCTTGACAGTCTCCCTTGTTCTCTCAGGACTCCTGAAGGCCCCTCCACCACTTCCCTTGGGATTCCTCCACATGCACATTCTCAGATAAATACTTAAATTTTAAAATTAGTCTGATAATCTACACAATTGGTGCATATTGATTACACAGAACGGTAGACTGATTGTGGTCATGCTTGCATAAAGACACTATTTGATTAATTTCGTTTTCAAATGCTGTCCCCCCACGTCCCCTTGACCTCTCCCAAATCCGCTTCCTCTGTTCTTCTTGTTTCCCTTCCAATTTTAGGAGTCCCCTTTGTTCCCTTCTAGCTTCCACATCAGTGAGTATATATATGTGATACTTTGTTCTCTGAGTCTCATGTAATTTGCTCAATATCATGCTCTCCAATTATGTCAATCATACACCACCTTTTCTTTATCCCAGAATGGTCACCTAGGCTGATTTCCAAATTGACTATTGTGAATTGTGCAGCAATAAATATGGGCACTTGTGTATCTCAAAACTATAATGACTTTCGTCCTTTTTGACCAATACCAAGGTAGGCTATTTATAGCTGGATCATATGGTGGATGCATTTTTACCTTTTTTAGGAAAACCTCCTTCCTGATTGCCATAGTGGCTGGACTAATTTACATCCCCACCAGCAGTGTATAAAAGTATTTCTTTTATTTCCCACATCCTAACCAGCACTTATTGCTCTTTTTATTCTTTATGCCTGCCTTTTTTGCTATAAAACCACAACATTACAAATATGAGAAACAAATACGGCAAATACTTCTACTTTTAGGTGTTTGAAAAGACTTCCCGAATAACCCCATAGGCTCAGGATATAAAGAAGGAATCAATAAACAGGATGATATTAAATCAAAAAGGTCCTGTACAGCAAGGGATTAAACACAGTGAAGAGGCAACTGTCAGACTGGGAGAAAGTTGTGCCCAGCTTGTACTCCGAAAGAGGGCTGTGATCCCAGATGTACTAGAATTCAAAACAAAAACAATTCAAATTTAAAAAAATAATAATAATAATAACCCAATCGGTAAGTGGTCAAACAAATTGAACACCCACTTCTCAAAATGGGAAATGCAAATGGCCAACTGTACAAGAAAAAATGTTCACCGTATTTAGCCACCAGAAAATGCACACCAAAATCACACTGAGATTTGACCAATACCAAGGTAGGCTGAAGAAATGAATAAATGAACCATCTTTTCAAAAAACAGCAACCTACTTTTCTTTTAAAGACCAGATAGTCATTTTCACTAGAGCTGTGATATTTGTAAAAATGATACAATGTGGGGACTCATTCAGTGCTTTTAGAAATATCCTTCATTCTAGGATCAAATCACAAATCATCACACCCGAAAAACAAACAAAAATCAGTTCAAGGATTTTAGTGGCTAAAGAAATCCCTTCAAATTAAATAGATCCCAATGGAATGGCTTGAGATGAATGAACACTCTGATATCTTTCAAGGAGTGGGTAGATGATGTCATTTCTCATAAGGAGGCAGGAAAAGACCTGAGATGGTGATTTTCAGCAACACCCAAGACCAGCATTGATGAGCAGAGACAGAGTACGACATTCACAACAGGTTTAAGATGATTTGGGAAAAGAAACTGTCTTAATAATTGATGACAATTTAATACTAGATTTCGTGAGAGCATTTAGGCCTGAAATTTCCAATAAATAAAATAGCAAATTTTCATTTCAGGGCTGTTTTTACAATTATAAAAAAGAAGTCATTTAATCTTATTAATTGCAATATATAAACTTATTCTTGAATTAATAGGTGAAGGAAAGAATGAGTAAGAGAACCTGAAGAGAATCATGGTTTATATACTTACTACCCATAACTTTAAGTGATTACCAAAGACTTCTTTCCACCAAGTAGTAACTGGTGTTTTCCATTGGTATCCATGTCTCTACCCTCAGCAGATCTCTCAACCACATGGAGTCCGAAAACCAAACACTTGCAGCAGAATTCCTCCTCCTGGGACTCTCAGAGGACCCAGAGCTGCAGCCCATCCTATTTGGACTGTTCCTGACGATGTACTTGGTCACTGTTGTTGGGAACCTGCTCATCATCCTGGCCACCAGCTCTGACTCCCACCTCCACACCCCCATGTACTTCTTCCTCTCCAACCTGGCCCTCACTGACATCTGTAGCACCTCCACTGTGGTCCCTAAGATGCTGCTGAACATCCAGACAGAAAGCAAAGCCATCTCTTATGCAGGCTGTCTCACTCAGCTATGCTTTTTTGTGGTTTTTGTATGCATGGACAATTTACTGCTAACCGTGATGGCCTATGATCGCTACGTGGCCATCTGCCACCCCTTGTATTACATGGTCATCATGAACCCCCGCCTCTGTGTCCTGTTGGTCCTGATCTGTCTGCTCATCAGCACTTTGGATGCCCTGGTGCACACTCTGCTGTTGCTGCGTCTGTCTTTCTGCAAACACCTGGAGATCCCCCACTTCTTCTGTGATCTGACTCAGATGCTCAAGATGGCCTGTTCTAATACCCTCATCAATAACATTGTGGTTTATTTATCAACCATGCTGTTGGGTATTGGTCCTGTGTCTGGCATAATTTTTTCATATACTCGAATTGTTTCCTCCATCCTGAGAATCCCGTCCACTGGTGGAAGGTATAAAGCTTTTTCTACCTGTGGGTCTCACCTGTCGGTGGTTTCCTTGTTCTATGGGACTGCTCTTGGGGTTTACCTTAGTTCTGCAGTTACTGATTCTCCCAGGAAGGCTACAGTGGCCTCTGTGATGTATGCGCTGGTCACCCCCATGCTGAACCCCTTCATCTACAGCCTGAGGAACAAGGACATGAAGGGGGCCTTGAGAAAACTCACCCTTGGAACATTTTCCTTTTCATGAATCTGCCAACTGTCTTGTGTATGAGCTCCTAGACTTAGTCAAAGTGAGTCAGTTCTCCCAGAAAAAGTAGCACCCCTTGAGATAAGGAGAGTGAAACCCTGGTGGGGGATGAGAACCTCAGGCCCTCTCACCAACCACAAAGGGCAAATGCAGCTCTGGCCAATTAACTGTTCAGGGTTATGGTGGGTGCCCTTCCCAGTCCTTTCACTCAAACTCACTCCCATGCCAGGGGCACCCCTGAGTCAGGACCCCTTCCCAGGGACTCTGAAAGCATAAACCACATGAGGGTAGAACAGTTGAGGAGTCACAGAAGCAGCAAACTCCAGGACCCTGAGGATGGGCTGTCATGGCTACTGCTTCCCTTCACCCCACACCTGGGAGTCCTCTGACAGCTGCTGCTGCTCCTCCTCACCCCAGGGCAGAGAAGCTCCTGCAGGGTGTGGCAGGGGCATGGAGGAGGTGACCTCAGGCACCAGGATGCAGACTCTGCCCTCCCTGGAAGTGGGAGTGCTCCCTGGGGAGGAAACCCCCCCTGACAGGCAGCTGAGGCCCCTGCACTCCCACCTCCAGCCCCACCAGCCACCCCAGCTGGGAAGCCAGCGCCCTTCCTGTTGGGGGCAGCTGCACACTCTTGGGCAGTGCTGTGTCCTTCTGCCCCAGCAAGAGTCTCCAGTAAAGAGTCCTGTTCCCACTGTGGCTGTGCCTGTTCTGAATCTTCTGGTGAAGAAGCCACCCAGCTGCTCACAAGGGCACTGAGCACTGGGTGCGGCAGGAATCCTGACTCCCTCCGTGTTCAGTTCTCAGAGCCAAGGATTTAAGGGGGGGGGGGAGGCTTTTAACACAAGTAGCTTGGTATTGAACCACAGTCTCCTATAATTACTCTGTTACTTACCAACTAACTCAAATCTGATTTTCATTTTTAAATGCTCCTTTTTTCTTTTCTTTTTTTTTATTATTATTTTGATGGCTCTGGGTATTGAACCCAAGCCCTTGTGCATGCAAGGCAAGCACTTTCCCAAATTAGCTATCTCCCCAGCCCTAATTTTCATTTTTATACTTATAAAATTCTTACAAAAAAATATCACCCACTTAATGGTGATTTGAGGAATATCTGAAATGTCTGAGACAATTCAAAGTAATAAATATAAACAGCAATGTGTCTGCTTCAGCACAAATTCCACAGTCATTCTTCCAACTACAGCACCACAGTAGTGAACTTGGGGTGCACAGTTAACTTGCCTCCACATAATCAGAAATGTACTATTTGTGTGTGGTCTGTCTCAGCCCACCATACCAAATATTCATTAAATCAAGTCTCCACTTCTTCTCTTGATTTTCTTCTTCCTTTTGTCCTCATTTCTGCTGGAATTTATACAAACATAAAAATCTGAAAAAAGTCATTTATTTATCATGCAATCCAGATATAAGAGCTCAGTTTACTATTGATTTATCTCCCTTCTCCTTGTCTCTACACTATTTTTTTTCTTCTTATTTTGGTAGCAGGGATTGACACGGGGGGCGGCGGGGGGTTACTAACCACCACTCTTCTACATCCTCAGCCTGGATTCATTTACTTATTTATTGATTTATTCATTTGTTCAAGACAACATCTAAGTTGCTTAGGACCTCACTAAGTTGCTGAGGCTGACTTTGAACTTGTGATTCCCCCTGCATGTACCACAATGACCAACTATTTATTTTCTTAATGCCTTTTTAAAAATATTTCCTATTGGAATAAGTTACACTCTGTGTTTGTATAATATGTCAAAATACACGCTACTATCATGTATCTAAAAAAGAGCAAATAAAAAAAAACAATAAAACACAGCTTTTAATTGTTAGTTGATCTATTTTGAGTTCTCCTATTACAGGTGAAGAAGCAGAGTCATATAGAAGTTGAGTAATGTCCTGAAAGTTGCACAGCTGTATGGGTTAGTAAATGTTGGATCCAAACTGTCCAAAGTCCCCATTGCCCCCACCATGCCATCCTACCCCAACCAGTATTGAATGACAAACCACCGTGGTCACACAGCAGGGAACTCTACATTTGGAATTGCACTTGTGTGGACTTAGATTGCAGAGTGACTGCACCTTGTCTCAGAGCCCTTTAAAGGGAGCTGGGAAGGATTCCAGGGTGGAGGGCCCTTGCATCTGCTCCACTGAATATTTGGGACTGGGCAAGCCATAGCAGCTACAGCACTTTTACCCTCGATTACTCTTGTGTCCACGGCTGATCATCAACAACAGCCAATAGACGTTCAGACCTATCAGTTGGCTTTCTGCTTCCACCAATCCCAATTTGTGGAGAACAACATGGACAGTTGTGATTTTCTCATTTTTAAATTCTGTCCTCCTCCCCTTCTGTCACAACACATTACAGTTGCTCCTGTCCCCTGGGTCTCTGGCTATTGTAATACCTAAAGGTCCTACAACAAATGCCCTTGACTCTGGCCTGATGGTTGTTTTTTCTCACTTTGCTCACACTAGGAACTTCTGGGCAATGATATCAGAAGAACTGCCATCCATTGGGCTCTTCACAATCAGTGCAATACACTGGGGGGTTCTCCAAGTGGAGTTCCTGGGCCAGCAGCAGCATCACCTAGAGACTTGGTAGAACAGAACTCCTAGGACCACAGGCCAAGCCTAGGAAGTCTGAAAATCTAGGGAAGGACCAGGATGTGTGTTCTAACAGGGCCTTTCAGTAATTGATGTGTGCACTAAGTCTGAGGGCCACAGTCTTTGTCTTTCTGGAGAATAGCCAATTCAGCGCCTTCCCTGGGGAGGGCAGCTGGGAGGCTGGGTGTTGAGACCTCTGTGATTCTCACCGTCTTATATCTCTGACCCTTAAGGCTTGTTATGGAGGAATCATGTGCATATATTTGTAATAACCACTTAAGGAACCACCCAGTCCTCTGCCCTCTGTTGCATACAAAGATCAACCTCCGAGGATGCTGAGGTAGAGCAACAGAGCTGGTGAGTACTGAAGGCTTGCCCCAGCCTTGCCTCCTCCAGGATTCAGCATTCTCCTAATATTCCTGAGCTGTGTTTGTCTGCAGACATGATCTACTCCATGGTCTCCAAGTTTGGCAACAGTCAAAGGAATGAGAGAAAGATGTAATTATAAAAGAAAATTAATCAGCTCATCAAAAGTAGTAAGTTATGCTTGTTTTAAATACCAGATAGGAGCTGAGTACAGTGGGCCACACCTGTAATTCCCTTACATAGGAAGCTGAGGCAGGAGGATCACACACTGGAGGCCAAGTTGGGCAACCTAATGAGGCTCTGTCTCAAAATATAAAATCAACAGCACTGGATGTGGGTCGTGATTCAGCACCCCTGTGTCAGTCCCTATAACACCACAAAAGGGGGTCGAGGAGATGGGAATTTTCACTTTGGATGTGACATGTCTGTATGAAACAAAATAGAGAGTCATTCAGCTTTGTGAAAATGTCCCTTTCTGGAGAAATATATGACAAATGTCAAATCAAAATCTGAAAAAAGAAGAGCACCCGTTCTAGGTCTAGAGCACGCAATTGAAATTACATAGATGCTGTTGGAATTATTTGATGTAATTATATGATATGAAATATTTAAAGAAATATACAGGTAATGTCATTTGTCAAAGTAAGTCAGTAGAGTACGTGAGATTGTAATTTTCAGCAACATCTGAGATTAGATCAGTGTAAAGTACAACTTAGAATTCCATGAAAAATGATTGATTTCACCCATTTGGTGCTTTATTAGGAAACTATTATAGTTTCAGCTAGATTTAAAGTCTGCATTCAGACTTTAAGGTCCTCAAGCATAAAATAGCACATGTTTGTTTTGTATTTTATTATTGGAAAAATTCTCACATTTAATTTTATATATGATAATACATAGAATTTATTCAAAATGCTAGGGCTAAAGAAATGGGTAGGACAACCTGAAGAGAACTTTCTAAATATTACTAGAATTCACATTGTAGACCGAAGGACTGTGTTCAGCACTGATCTCTCTGTGCTGTGTTTTCACTATGTCCCTATCTTGCAGCAGACGTCTCAAAAGTATGAAACCAGAAAACCAAACCCATACAGCAGAATTCCTCCTCCTGGGACTCTCAGAGGACCCAGAGCTGCAGCCCATCCTCTTTGGCCTGCTACTGTCCATATACCTGGTCACCGTTGTTGGGAACTTGCTCATCATCCTGGCCGTCAGCTCTGACTCCCACCTCCACACCCCCATGTACTTCTTCCTCTCCAACCTGGCCCTCACTGACATCTGTAGCACCTCCACTGTGGTCCCTAAGATGCTGGTGAACATCCAGACAGAAAGCAAAGCCATCTCTTATGCAGGCTGCCTCACTCAGGCATATTTTTTCATGGTTTTTGTATGTATGGACAATTTACTGCTGACTGTGATGGCCTATGATCGCTACGTGGCCATCTGCCACCCCTTGCATTACATGGTCATCATGAACCCCCGCTTCTGTGCCCTGCTGGTTCTAATCTGTCTGCTCATCAGCACTGTGGATGCCCTGGTGCACACTCTGATGTTGCTGCGTCTGTCTTTCTGCAAACATCTGCAGATCCCCCACTTCTTCTGTGAACTAACTCAGATCATCAGGATGGCCTGTTCTGATGCTCTCATCAATAACATTGTTGAATTTTTAGCTACCATCTTCTTGGGTATTGCTCCTCTCTCCGGGATAATTTTCTCTTATGCTCAGATTGTCTCTTCCATCTTCAGAATCCCATCAACTGATAGAAAATATAAAGCTTTTTCTACCTGTGGGTCTCACCTGTCAGTGGTTTCCTTGTTCTATGGGACTTGTATTGGAGTTTATCTTAGTTCTGCTGTTACTGATTCTCCCAGAATGAGTGCCATGGCCTCGGTGATGTACACTGTGGTCACTCCCATGCTGAACCCCTTCATTTACAGCCTGAGGAACAAGGACATGAAGGGCGCCTTGAGAAAACTCACCTTGGGGACATTTTTATTGTTGTGACCCTGTTAAGTTTCCTGAGTGTGGGTTTCTTCAGGCAAAGAGAATGAAATATTGGGTCTCTATCATGGTTTAAATATGAGATGTTCCTATAAAAGCTCATGTAGCAATTTAGGCATATTCAGGGGTGAAATGATTAGATAATAAATCAGTGGGTTAATCCTTATTTGGAATTAATAATTTCAATGTATTAGTGGATGGTAACGATAGGCAAGTGCTAATAGCTAGAGGAAGTAGAACACTCAGGAGATGCCCTTGGAGACTCTATTTTCTCTCTGGTTCCTAGTTCTCTCAGTCTCTCTGTTTCCTGCCTTTCATAAGCTAAAGAGCTTTTGTATGCCACACACTTCTGCCATTATTTCTTCATCTCTGGGGCCCATTAATGAAGTGGGCCAACCATGGACTGGACATCTGACACCATGAAGCCAAAATAAACTTTTTCTCTTCTATGTTCTTCTTCTCACATATTTGGTCACAGCAATGAAAAGGAGACCAATACAACAGGCAGGAAATCTTGAATCTTCCTTAATTCAGTTTTTCTTGCAAACAAATGGTGAAACACAAGCTTTCAAGAAAGTGTCTTTGTATGGAATCCTAAGAACTGTAGTTCTTACTAGCAGTTAATATGTTTTGCTCCATGTCACAGACACACTAATTTCAACTCTTGGTTCAATTTCTACATCTATCATAAGCTCAGACAAATGTCACACACTTAGTAATCATTTAGGGAATATATCTGTCTTATAGAAATATGTGAATTTTTTTCAAATATCACAATGTTTATGGATATATATATATATATATATATATATATATACACATCAGGGCATGGACATGACTTAATAAATTAAGTAGATTTAATTTCAGTACTATAATAAAGGGACCAATTCAAATTCTCACCATTTGCTTCACACCCACAAAAACCACTTTAAGGGCATTGAGAGGTTTTAAAATGTATACAAAAAATTGGTTGCATTGAGCAAGTAATATTAAACAAGTAGTTACTTTATCAACAATCTTGTATTAGGAAAATCATAGTAGACGCGTTCTTGGTTCTACATTAATTGTTAATGTAACTTTTTTGACAAATGTGGTTCTGGGGAATGAACCCAGGCCCTGCAAATGTAAGCCCCACTTACACTTCATCACTTCTCACTTCATACCTTTCCCTTCTAGTGATTGTCAACTTCCTCTTGATTTTGACCTCCTTTCTACCAGAATGTCTAGAGATAAATGCATTTGAAAAAAAAATCCATGGTTATTTCTTATATAATAGGTATATTATGTAGAAATGCATTTCCCATATCCAAACACATGGAGGGTTCCTAGTCATGCCATTGGGACTTATTTTAACCTTGTTGCATTGTGGTTGTAGAACGTATTCTCCCTATAATTTTAATTCTTTTAATTTAAAAAATGGCCTTAATTCTCACTGTTGTCAAACGATTACATGTTCCAACTGTAGTGATGAAATAAATGTGCATTCTTTGATGGGTGTGTGTGTGTGTGTGTGTGTGTGTGTGTGAGAGAGAGAGAGAGAGAGAGAGAGAGAGAGAGAGAGAGAGAGAGAGAGATTCCCAGAACTTTTTATTTATTTATTTATTTATTTATTTATTTATTTTGGGGGACAGAGTCTCCCTAAATTACTGAGGCTGACCTTGAATTTGGAATCCTCTTGCTTCAGATTCCCAAGTAGCTGAGGTTACAAAATATGTGTATTTGGGCTGGGGATATAGCTCAGTTGGTAGAGTGCTTGCCTTGCATGCGTAGGGCCCTGGGTTCAAGCCACAGTACCACAAAAATAAAATGTGTATTCTACAGTTATTGAAAGCATCGTTCTCTGCATGTCCAATCAGTCCAACTTGGTAATCATGTTCAAATCTGGGTAAAACTTTCTGATTCTGCTGGTCTCCTTGTTGTACAATCATGATGAGACGGGTGGTAAATTCACTCAGTGTGATATTGATTTGTCTGCTTATGCTTGTAATTTCATCAGATGACTCTTAAGTGACTGCAGATTCAAAATTTCACCTCTTCCTAGTGCATCAGATTTCTCATGTTTACGAAATCACTTTAGTTATCTCTGAGCCTCCTTTGCATTAAGGTCTGCTCTCTTTGACAGGAACACAGTGCAGTTACACAAGGCTTTTCTGAGTTCTCCAGATGAGGGGAAGCCTGGGTGTAGTTCTTACTAGCAGTTAGTTTATTTCCCATTCTCCCTCATTTCTAAGGCCATCCCTTTGCACTACCAGAACAAATAGAAAAGCCCTTTATTCTCGGCCTTCACTCCTGACTCTGCAGACACCCACAGCTCACATCTGTGTCTCCCAGACCCCTTCATTGGTAAGATCCGTTCTAGTGCCTGACTCAAGCTTCTGGAGCCCTTGTCTATATACAGTGATTTATTTTATGTTCCTTTATTTGAATATAGTTTTAATTTTAATTAAAGGATTTTTTAGCTCCTGTGCTATAAATGGGGAAGCAGAGACATGGAGAGGGTAAGTAATGTCCCCAAATTTTGCACAGGAGACTTCTGGATACAAACCACCCAAAGTTCACACTGTACCCACCATGAATGATTCTGCTTGAATGATTCTCCCAGGAAGACTGCAGTGGCTTCAGTGATGTGCACTGTGGTCACCCCTATGCTGAACCCCTTCATTTACAGCCTGAGCAACAAGGACGTGAAAGGCGCCTTGAGAAAACTCATTTAAGGAATATTTTCCTTTTGTGATTCTGTCAACTGCCCTCAGTATGAACTTCTAGAATGAGTCAAAGAGGATGAAATATTGGCTGCACCAGAAATCCTGACTTTAAGTTTTCTTTTATTTTTCAGTACTAGAGATTGACTCCAGGAGTGTTCTACCACCAAAATATATCCTTATCCCTTTGTATTTTTTATTTTGAGACAAGAGTGTCACTAAATTGCCTATGCTGCCCTCAAACCTGTGATTCTCCAGCCTCAATTTCTTGAGGTGATGGAATTACAGGCTTGGGCCACCGTAGGAGGCCTGACTCTATCTTGGTGCAATTCTCTGAGCAAAGTGGTTAATTATGGACTTTCAAGACAAACAGCGTTGTATTGACCCTGCTTTTGTGTGTTTCCCTCCATTTCACATACCAACTAACTTACTTTGAGTTCAGTTTCTGCATCCATAAAATGGGCAAAGTAATATAGTGCAAGTAAATAGTGATTTGGGGAATGTGTCAACTATATTGGGATGTATGTGATAATTCAAAACATTTGTATACATAGAATTTTGACTGTCTGACGTACCTGTAAAATGAGCATCAGGTGTGTAGCACATATTAATCAACTTGTATTGAACACTTCCACATTAATCACTGGTTGTTTTTTGTTAGTTTGTTTTGTTTTGTTTTGTTTCTCTCTTACTTGGGATCAACTCCATGACTGCTCATGCTTGGAAAGTTCTCTATCACTGAGGTCACCACCAATCCACCACATTAATTATTAATTAAATCAGTTCTTACTGCACCCTGTTCCCTTTGAGGGTGGAGATCCTCTTTGTTTTGTCCTCAGTACTTCCAGAATCCATACATATAAATGAATTTAAGCAAAGTCCATTTAGAGTTTTACATAATACATGTGCTAAGTAGAAATTCAGCAGAAATGCATTTCTTTCTTTTCTCTTTTTTTTTTTTTTGTTCTCTCCTGGTTTTGAGGATTGGACCCAAGGATGCTTTATCACTGAGCTATGTCCCAAACCCTTTTATTTCTTTATTTGAGTTGGTCTCACTAAGTTGCCCAGGCTGGTCTGTAACCTTGGACCCTCATGCATCCGCCTGCCAAGCATCTGGAATTACCAGTGTGTAGCACTGTGCCCAACTAGAAATGTACTTCTTAATATGGGAGACCTCTTATTATGTTTTGGTGGTTCATTTGTAGTCCAGTTACATTGTGGTCATATTCTTTATATAATTTCAACAGTTTGAAATTAAATGTTTGTCTTACATGGCATTTGTGGTCAAATTTAGTAAATGTGCTAAAACATAAATGTGCATTCTATAATTATTGATTGCATATTTCTATATATGTCCAATAAATCAAGTTTTTAATCATGTTAAAATCTTATGGATTTTTGCTGATTTTGTTCTTTGTTGGTCTCCTTTTTTGTATAAATCATGGAGGAATACATGTTAAAGTCACAGAATGTGGTTTTTAAGTTTCTATTTTGCTTTCAATTCATTCAAAGGACCAGGCCCTTCCTGCCCAGATTACTCAGCAGGCCCTTCTGCCCCTCACCTTTTGGGTCTCCCCACCTACATTCTATCACTGCAAGATAACAGAACAAAGGACAGGAAGCTGACAGAAATGTAGGAAAGCTGAAGGAAGACCTTGGCTATGAAGAGGGGAGACATCGCCCTTCCACGGATTCCACCTCTTGGGTCCCCTTCTTCCTCCAGGAGAAGTCTTTTCTGCTGTCCTTTAATGAAGCTTCTACTTTCCACTCTACACTTGCCTCGGCATGCTTCTCTGGTGTTGTACTTCAGCATTGGGGAAGCACGGACTTGTCACCAGTAAACAACAGTAACACCAAGGCATGAGTTTCCAAACCTGGGTTTGGTAATAAGAATACAATCCAGTTGCTACTGATCCTGGGTCTCCAGGATTGCAATTCCCAAAAGACACTGAATAAATGTCTTCTCTCAAGCCTACTTATTGGTTTTGTTTCAGGTTTTTGGAGAATTCCTGAGCAGTGATTTTATGATCGTTGCCATGTGCTAGATACTTACAAATTTCAATGTACTAATAAAGTGAAGTTGCTGGGCAGGCCGCATCAGTACCACCTGGGCTTGTTTGAAATGCAGACTCTTTGACCCTACCCCAGACTTGCTGAATCAAGTTGCTGGGCTGGGGATACAGTTCAGTAGTAGAGCATTTGCTTAGCATGCATGAAGCCCTGGATTCAATCGCCAACACCACATACACAAACACACACGTGTAGCTCAGAGGTAGAGTATTCCTGGGTTCAATCCCCAGTACTGTGGAAAAGAGTATGTGCTATTTGAGATTGAGAAAGTTTTGAAGGAAATTGGTTTGCCGCATTTTAACAGACCTATAAAATATGCAAGTGGCAAATGTCTCAGGCAGTATGCAATTTAGAGTTGTGGACAGTATGAACAGTTAAAACAGTGAGATTCACTGCTACCTTAGAGTGAATGATTATAGGACGAGAAGGTGGCTGAGGACTGAGCCCTGGGGCAGCCAGACAACTACAACTTGGGAAAGCTGCTAGAGGGTGAGACACCACTTGGGCAGCTCCGCCAAGTCCGTTAAAGCTTGTGAACTACATTTCCCAGAATCCCCTCTGTCCGCGCTTCCTGGCTAGAAGCGGCCAATGAGGTACCGCGAGATTTGGAAGGCGGAAGTGAAGCGGAAGCCATTACTCTCGAGAGGCGATTACTGTAAGACACATGGGCAAAGGAGAGGTCTGCGGCTTCTCCCTTCGACCTGTTGGGGACCCTCGACTTCCTTACAGCATATGGAGCCTGTCATATGAACTTAGTCTCCGGCGGCGGCTTCCGAGACCTCCGCTCCCTCGATTGTACCCCAGCCCTGTAAGCCCGGTTTTCATCACTAATCCTTCCACCCCCCCGCCTTCCTCAGGACCCGAGAGGCCCCGGAAGCGGGGGACCAGGGGCAGGAATGAGGGTGCCGGGAGGCCGGGCAGACACGCGAGGAGTGCCTCTTAGGTGGCACGGTCGGTGGGGGTGAGAGGCTGCGGGTGCTGGAGCGGAAGTCCACAGCCTTTGAGTGACGGCGGAGGTGCTGGGAACCTGGTTAGGAATGGAGCCCTGGAGGTGGGGCCGGCGACAGACCGTCGGTTTTGCTTCTGTTCTTACGGGCACGCTGCTTTTCGATGTTGTTTGCATTTGACTTGAATAGTACCTTGTATGTATCAAGTCTCCGGTGCACCTATTTTAGTTGTCATTCTTGTGTCAGAGGCCTACAGGTAGCTTTAAAATTCCGTCTCACATCCGGTTTTTTAACTTTTCGAGAAGAGTTAAGTCTATTAATACTAGCGCTGGTTACTAATATTTTGCATTGAATTCTGCCATCTTATGTTGTGTTGATTAACCTTTTACTTTCAAATACTTGCACATTAAAAAGCAGGGCATATACCCCACCCGCAGCCCCGAAGAAGAAAGAAAAAATGTGAAAACACACACACAAACTTAGAATTGAAAGTTTGAGAATTGAAATTGAACGCGAATTCCTCAAACTAGGCTGAGAAAGAGGTTATTTAACCTCAGATCTGAGTGCTTCTATACCGCATCCTCATCTTCCCCATGGCTTTCTTAGTTACTTTCTTTTTTTCTTCTTTTTACTGTGCTAGTCAAGAGCTCTGCCACTGAGGTACTTGCTCATCCCTTTCTGGTGGTTAATTTTATTCTTGAGACAGGGCCTCCAAGTCGCCCAGGCGGCTTCCAACTTGTGATCATCCCAACTCAGCCTCCTGAATAGTGTAGTGCACCCAACTCCTCCAGGATTTTCTTTATGAATTTTACTGCTTATATATGCTTTCTCAAAAATATGTTTGTTTGTTTTTAGGGGCGGTACTGGTGATTGAACTCAAGGGCACTCAACCACTGAGCCACATCCACAGCCCTAGTTTGTATTTTACTTAGAGACCGGGTCTTACTGAATTGCTTAGCAATTGCCGAGGCTGGCTGTGAACTCGGGATCCTCCTGCCTCAGCCTCCCAAACCCCTGGGATTACAGGCCTGTTCCTGTAAATACAAAAATGTATTTGTTAATTTTGGTAATTATTAGTGAATAGACTCACATGCTTAAGTACTTTCATAGATATCCTTTTTTTTCCATATTGCTGCAAGTACACATCCATGATTTAGCGATTTCTAAATAACTTACAGGTGAAGTGCTTAACTTTTAGCAATTATTTTTAGGAACATCATAGCTTAAATTTGAAAATAATTTTGCCAAATTCCACAAACTGGGCTTTAATTTGAATTTATATATAAATTTTGAGAATATTGGCATTTTCAAAGGATATTTATTAATTGGGCACTAGGCATTGAACACAAGGGTGCTCTAACACTGAGCTACATCCCCACCCCTTTTTAAATTTTTTTAAAAATTTTGAGGCAGGGTCTTGCTTAGTTGCTTAGGCTGATCTTCAACTTGCAATCCTCCTGTCTCAGCTTCTGGAGTAGTTGGGATTATAGGCGTGAGCCACTGAGCCTGGCTCCTAACTGTCTTCATACTCTTCATCTTTCTGTGCTGCCCCAATGTTCTTTTGAAGAACTACTTTCTAAACTTAAGCATGCATAGTGTCACCTGTAGAGCTTGTTAAAGCACCAATTCTTAGGCCCACTCCACCAAGTCTTAGTTGGACTGGCATATGATCTGGTATCAGAATTATTACATTACCCTGAGCGATGTTTGTGCCCTGGCCTGCAGACCACACTTTGGGTCATACCTAGGAAACAAAATCCATTTCTTTGGTTGTGTATAATCCAGAGTTCTTCATTTAGGGTAGTTTGTTGTGGTCGTGGAGATGATGGTGGTGGTGGTTTTCTATTTTGCTTTTATTTCAACAATTGAATTTGGTCTTTTAGAAAAATTACCTTACGTATTTGTTTGTTTACAGTGCTGGGGCTTGAGCCCAGGGCCTTATGTGCACTAGGCAAGTATTTTACCTTGAGTTACATCCTCAGCCCCTAAATTACAATTTTTAAAATTACTGTATGTTTATTTGTTGTCAGCCCATGAGTAGTTTTGAAGATAGTAAATGTCTATATTTTGTATTGCTTTGTTTTTGGCACCAGTGATTGAACTCAGGGCACTTATCCACAGAGCCATATCCCCAGCCCCTTTTTATTTATTTATTTATTTATTTTTATTTTGAGACAGGGTCTCCCTAAGTTGCTGAGGTTGGCTTTGCACTTGGCAATCAATCCTCCTGCCTCAGCCTCCAGAACCCCTGGGATTACAGGCCTGGCCACCACACCTAACTGTTGCTTTTTTAAAACAGGTTGAGTGGAGGGTTTGGTTAGGGTACCTATATTACCTGTTGGAAACAAATCTGACCCTACCTTTTTAGCTCCTGCAACATTTTATCTAGTTGGTTGAAAGCTTAAAGATGGTGGAGTATACATAGATATGTTGAATTCCTAGTGCAGCATACTTCTGGACTGAGAAAACAATAGTTGTATGATGTTCTCACCATATTTGTTGCTTTGTGTATGTTTGCTTGCCTGGATAACACTGGTAGAAATAGTTGTGGCAAGGGCAAACATTAGTAAAATAATTTCTGCCTGTAGTGTTTGCATATGTTAATTCTGAATGTCCTGGTGCAGCATTGTAAAGTTGAATATAGAGATAAAGTTATATTGGAAGAATTATAGCCACAAAAGAAAACTCACATTGGAATCATCTGAAAGGGCAAAATTAACCTTAGACTGTAACTAGATGGAAGAGGCAGATCTGTCATTGTGAGAAGTGTGGCTGGGCCTCAGTGGGACATGGGAGGTTCCTGGGGTGCTGATTCAATAAGGCACTCACCCTTGGTGCCAACTCTGTGTTCACGTGAAGCTGAAAGCACTGTCTTGAATTATGTGCCCTGGCACCTTGTAGCCCCCCCCCCCCCCGAGTCCTGTCCCTGATCCTCTTAGGGTAGAGTAAGATTTGTGGAAATGGTGTAGTAGAGCTGCTTTTACTGCATCATGAAGAGCTGAGGGAGAAGTTAAACGACTCATTAACTCTGCAAAAGTAATCTCCATTCTCACTTACCCTTATGATGTCGTTCTGATTTTCATTGTTTTGTGTGTCTCGTAGAAAACTTCTGAGTTCATGGACTTACACTTCTTCCTATATACCTGTGCTCCAGCCAGTCTTCCTGCTGTGCCTCTATATTCGGGGGCCACCGATTCTTGGTGACTCTCATTGAGCACTGATAAGCCGTGAAAGTGGTACAGTCATTGAGGTGAGAAATGGCCCAGAATTTCTGCTCTGACAGTGAAAGGGTCCCACAGGCCTGAGTTTGATGGGGATCACTCTCTAAGCCTGAGCCACCTGAGCACTTTGCCCCACGTGGAAAGTGTAGATGACGGGGCTCCAGGTCCTGGCCTCAGCCAGTGGCTGTGTCTTAGCCACTTGGTAGCCTTTCTCTTCACAGGGGAGAGTGGATATTTGGTTGGATATTCAGAGACTCCAGTCTCGCATTTCATGAGTTCTTCCTCTGTGTTATTGTCAAGGTTATGCCAGCTTTTACTTGATTAATTTTTAGGTACTTTATGTGTGCTAAAAGAATGTGTGTAAATTTTCTTTATGTAGCATACAGAAAATTGATTTTTAATCTTCATTCTCCAGTTCTTTGCCAAGGTATGTTTTTTTCTGTATATGATTGTTGTGGAGTGAACTCCAAGATTATTTGCTGAAAGAGTAATGGTGAGGGAGATTTCTGACTCAGAAACACTGGTGAGACTTTCTTGGTCTCTGGGAGACTGGAAGGTGGGATGGCCTAGTTCGCTTATTTAGTATAGGTGTCCTTTGGGGGTTTGCAACTCAGTTTTTACCCCAACAGGGAGACTTTGTGTGCACACTGGTCTTTCCAAGTGCCTTCAGGGAGGAGGAGACAGATGGCTGGAATTACCAGGCTTTTCTTGCTGGAGACGGGTAGAAGGCAGAAAGAAAAGAATTTGGACAAAGAAGTGGTTGAGGTGATGTGGCTTGTGCAGCAGTGAGAAGCATAGGTGCCCGCAGTCTTCTCTGAGGGAAGAGGTAATAGGATGAGAAAGATATGCAGGGCATTTTGTGCAGAGAATCAAGTTTCTTTTTTCTTTCTTGTTCTTTTTTGGTTTTGTTTTGGTTTTTTGTTTTATTTTGTCTGTTTGCTGGGATTTGAACCCAGGGCCCTTGTGCATGCCAAGCGAACTCTGTACCATCCCAGAAGAGGTGAGGCTGATTTCAGTGGTGAAGGTCGTAATCCATGGCTGTGTGTGCCGGTGTGGGTGCAGAGGGTGTTGGAGAGAGGCACTTGTGTCCTAAGGGGAGCATCCTCTTAGACAGAGAGTCCTCCTGAGTGAGGCCAGCCTCCATGGTGAAAGGAAGATCAATAGCCTGAGGCCAGAGAATTCAGTGAGTGAGGGCTTGAGCAGTTGTGCCTGGTGACACATCAGTTGGGGACAGTGGATATGGCTTCCCACTTGAGGCCAATCAGGGAGCTTCTACCACATGGCCCGGAAGTTTGACCTACGTGAGGTAGAGGCCAAGGATTGGGCAACTTGCTGCTCAGAGAAAATGCCAAAAACAAAACTCAGAATTGTCCTCAGTGAGCAGGAGAGACACGGCCTCTGACCTCCTGCTTCCCTCTCATTTCCACAGAGGCCAGCCTGTTGAGAGCCGTGGAATCCAGAGAGTAGCTTCCTGCAGGACTTCCACAGGACTCCAGTGCCCTGCTGTCCAGGAAATTGACTCCTTCTCACAGGATGGCAGCTCTTGGCCTGTCTCCCACATTTGGTAAGTTCTGGGGTCAACTCATGCCCTTGGGTATGAGTGTAAGTGTACCCTGCAGCTCTATTGAGATAAAGGGGACATGCACCCACAGGGAGGGCTGCCAGGGGAGGGAGGGCTGCCAGGGGAGGATGGGCGAGTTGAAGAATTATGGGAGCCGTCCACTGACTGTGTCTGATTCAGGGTTTTCGGGGATTGGGGAGAGGGGAGAGTGGATATTTGGTTGGTGTGTGAAGAGGGGACGGTGGACGGGGGATCGTGTACTATCCATTTGTTATTTTAATAAAATTAGAGCAAAGTAATAGCTCCATCTCTCAGCATTTCAATTCTTCACTCAGAAACTGAAACTTTGTACAAATTGAACATCCCTAAGTAAAACATTCAGAGTGCTCCAAAATCTAAATCTTTTTGACTGCTAGCACGATGCCACAAATGCGAAAACTCCACTTAAAACTCGGGCATACCAGCTGGGTGTGGTCGTGCATTCTAGTAATCCCAGCTCTGGAGCCTGGGAATTCCAAGTTTGAGGCCAGCCTGGGCAACTTGATAAGACCCTGTCTTAAAATAAAGAGGGCTGGGGATGCAGCTCAGTGGTAGAGGGTTTGGCTTAATGCCCAGTACTGGGGTGGGGGCATTCAGACACACTAAAAGTAGTCTATGAGATTACCTTCAGGGTCCTTGTATGTTTATGAAACATAAATGAATTTTGTGTTTGGATTTGGTCCCCATCTCAAGATGCCTCATTATGTATGTGCAAACATTCTAACACCCGCCTCCTCCCACCACCAATGTGAAACACTTCTGGCCCCAGGCATTAGGGCTATGAAATACTCAGCCTGTGTGTTGCATCCTACTGGTAGGTAGGCCTGGCACCCCTCTCTGTCTTTGAGAGGTGCAGGGCTGCTGTGGTTCACAAATGGGGTGTCGGTGGTGTGTTGTTTGGGTGGGGACACTAGTGGGAGACACGGGATTCTCATGGAGCTTCTTTTCTCCTGTAGCTGTGTCCACCCAGAACCCTGCTTTTCTCCAAGAGTCAGAATTTCCTCTGTCTTCAAAACACCATTCCTGTCCCCAGAATTTAGACCTGTTTGCTTCCCATGGTCTGGAGCCTCCTACACCACCCAGTGTTTCTTCTCAGGTATACAAGGTCTCGGGGCCCTGAGGGGTAGAGATGTTTTCTAGAATACCTTCATCGTTGCACATTAAATTTTTTCAGATCCTCCTTACTCTGGCAGATGCCTGACCAGGACCCCGAAAATAGCCAGGGAAGGGCAAACTCTTGTCCTAGTATCAGGGAAGTCACAGGAAGTGATTTATGTAGCAAGAATTTCTCTCCTGCTTGCAGAGTACTCAGACCTACCCATGCTCAATCCTAGATATGGCTGGGGCTGGGGGTAAAGCTAGGCTGGGTAGTGTGTAAAGAGGTCTCATTAGTTCACAGTACTGGAGACTCGGTGCCTCGCGGAATTGTATTTGAAGCAGAGAGATAGAATAAGGTCACCTCATGGGGAAGAGACGATGTTTGAGAGCACACCAGCTGGAAGTCCAGTCTTCAGCCTCCTCCATCTTCCTGTGAACTCTGACAGGCTTCTTACCCCAGGTGTGTGTGGTGTTTCAGGAATCCGTGACTTTCCAGGATGTAGCTGTGGACTTCACTGAGAAAGAGTGGCCCCTGCTGGATTCTTCTCAGAGAAAGCTGTACAAGGATGTGATGCTGGAGAACTATAGCAACCTCACTTCACTAGGTAACCCTGGCCACATTCAGAATTCATTCTTACCAGAACCACATGTTTTTGTTCAAGTATTTTCAGTGACTCAGAAACTAGGCAGGGGTTTGAAACACGACTGAGTGAGCAGAACCAGTACCCACCCGCATGGTGTCTCCCAGAGATTTTGAACCCTGATTGCTGCATTGATTTTGGAGACACCCACGTTTGTGTTCTGAGCTTGGACATGGGCTCCTGGGATAAGAAATCCCCATTCTTTTGGAGAGAAAATGTGTGGGTATGGTTTCATTTGTTTTTGTTTTTAAAGATTCACTGTGTTCTTAGAAATGAGGCACCATCATTTTGTTACTCTTAAGTCAGACTCCACCTTCAGAACCCTGAAGATCAAAATGTTGGCCGCAGTCTAATGGAAGGGTTGTCCTCTGCACAGTCCTCCCTCAACATGTCTTTCCCTGTGAGTAGGGTATCAGGTTGGCAAACCCAGCCTCATCTCACACTTGGAGCAAGAAGAAGAGCCGAGGACAGAGGAGAGGGGCAGTCAGCACGGCACCTGTCCAGGTGAGCAAGCATGAGGGCAAATAGGAGTGCTTTAGACTGTCCGCTCTAGGCAGCGACTGGAGTGAGGGAGTGCGTGGGCCATTTCCTGTTTCTAGAAAAATGTCCGAGGCTGGATAGTGTGTAAAGAAGAGGTCTCGTTAATTCACAGTACTGGAGACTCGTCATCCTGGAAAGAGTCGTTCCTCCCAACACATGCACATTTTACTGTGTCACAGTTTGGCAGATGGCATCTCAGAGGGAGTGTATTTTAGAAGGAAAGATCCTATGGTAAGACAGAAAGCAAGATACTGAGGAAGATACTGCTGATCTCACTGATTTCCTAACAGCCCACTTTTATCAGAACTAATTCACCCAGGAGAACAGTATCTCTCCATCTGAGCAGGCCCTACCATATCTGCAGAGTTCCACCACCTTTATATGACCATACTGAGGACCAGGCCTCCAGCACATAAGCCTTTGGGGGACAGATGACTTCCATACTTTAGCAGGGAGGTCTATTAGGTAATGTCACCTGAGGAAATTAGAAAATGCTGTCTTTATTTTACTGGCCATTCATTCTCGCACAAGTCCTTGGTTCTCTATGCCTCTTTGTTCATTGAGGTGCTAGGGATTAAATCTAGGGGTACTTTACGACTGAGACAACGTCTCATTAAGTTGCTTAGGGCCTTGCCAAGTTGCTTAAGGCTGGCTTTGAACTTGCAGTCCTCATGCCTCGGCCTCCCAAGTTGCTGAGATTACAGGTGTGCGCCACCATGGCCAGCTTGCCCTGTTTAATTTAATGTTTCTGTGTTGTCTGTCTGTCTCATTTTTTTATGCTTGGCCTTCCTGATCATGCACTATTTGAATATCTATCTGAAGTGACTTAAATTTATCCTGCCATCATTTCTAAACAGCTCATGTAGCCACATTTTCAATAATTATTTTGCTATTGTGTGTTCTTCCCTTTTGCATTTTCTTGTGTACAGGTAGTATTTGCAAAGTCTGCCTGTTTTGTCACCGTCATTTTATTTTTTCATCAAGTTAGTATTTTGCTAATTTTATTTCAGATTGGGAGACTCCATCTAAGACCAAGTGGTCAATCCTCATGGAAGATATTTTTGGGAAGGAAACATCCAGTGGTGTGACAATGGTAAGATTTACCTGAGATAATTCTGGATCCTCCCCATTAGAGAAGCCTCGGGCAGCTGGAGTTGGCAAAGCTGCTTAAGAAGGAGACCTGTGGAACAGTTCCAGGTCTCCTGTGGAGACCAAAATCTGCGGATGCTCAAGTCTTTTATATAAAATGACATAGTATTTGCATGGAACTACACACATCCTCCCGTATACTTTAAATTATCTCTAGATTGTCTTTAATAACCAAAGTAGTAAAAATGATACTTAAATATTCATTTTACTGTGTTATTTAAGGAATATGAAAAGAAAAATGTATATGTACTTAATACAGATGCAATTTTTTTTTTTTAATTTGGAGAAAAATCCTAAATTTAACCTCAGACTTACTCAAGAATTTTGATGGATAAATATTTTTTATAACTTGCTGGGCACAGTGGCACACACCTGTAATCCCCACAACTTTGGAGGCTGAGGCTAGAGATGGCAAGTTTGAGGCCAACCTTAGCAATTTAGCAAGGCCCAGTCTCAAAATAAAAAATAAGAAGAGCTAAGGATGTAGCTCAGAGGTAAAGTACCCTTGAGTTTAATTCCTAGAACAAAAAAAAAAGAAAAGAAAACCACCCAAAATACAAAATCCATAACTTATCTTAGATGTTGAGTATTTGAGCTCAATTTGGTTGTGTGTGTGAGGGTTTGTTTGTTTGTATTGCTGGGGATTGACCCTAGCAGCTTGCGTATGCTGGGCAAGTGCTGTTATCACTGAACTACATCCCAACCCTTTTTACATTTTATTTGGAGACAGAGTCTCACTGAGTTGTCAAGGCAGACCTCAAACTTGGGGTACCACTGCCTCAGCTTCTAGAGTAGCTAGCTGAGATTACAGATTTACAGATGTGTATTGTCGTGTTTAGCTTAATTTGGTTTTAAAGAGTAGACAAGCTGCAAAAAATGCTTTGTAAAAGTAGCACACATGGAGCCTTATGGTATAGCATTTGCCTTTCCTCTTGGATAGAGTTCCAGTGAGACAGGAACAGCATATTTGCACTGCGTATTATGGCATCTTCAGTCACAGTGGTGAGCATCTATCTTTGAATGTTTAGGCTGAAAGGGGCTGGGGTACAGCTCAGTGGTAGAGCACGAGCTTAGCATGCATGAGGCCATGGGTTCGATCCCCAGCACCAAAAGAAAAAAGAGGAAGAAGAATGCAGTGTTTGTGGAAAATGACCTAGTCAGCTCTCCTCTCTTAACCAACAGGAAAGAGCTCATCTTGGGGAGAAATCCACTGAATACGCCCACTTGTTTGAAGTCTTCAGCATGGGTGCTCATCTTACTCAGCCAATGGGGAGACACCCCGGCAAGAGGCCCTACCATCGCCACCATTGTGGGGCAGCCTTCAAGAGCAGGACACCTCTCACTCAGCACGTGAACGTGTATGATGGGAGGAAGATGCACGAGTGCCAGCAGTGCCAGAAGGCCTTCACCACGAGCGCCTCCCTCACCCGACACAGGAGGATCCACACTGGGGAGAAGCCCTATGGCTGCAGCGACTGTGGGAAGGCCTTCAACGACCCCTCTGCCCTCAGGAGCCACGCACGGACACACCTCAAAGAGAAGCCCTTCGACTGTAGTCAGTGTGGGAACGCCTTCCGCACCCTCTCGGCCCTGAAGATCCACATGAGGGTCCACACTGGCGAGAGACCCTACAAGTGTGATGAGTGTGGCAAGGCCTACGGCAGGAGCTGCCACCTCATTGCACACAAGCGAACACACACTGGGGAGCGGCCCTATGAGTGTCAGGACTGTGGGAAAGCTTTCCAACACCCCTCACACCTGAAGGAACACGTCAGGAATCACACCGGGGAGAAGCCCTACGAGTGCACACAGTGTGGCAAAGCCTTCCGCTGGAAGTCTAACTTTAATTTGCACAAGAAAAACCATATGGTGCAGAAAACCTATGAATGCAAAGAATGTGGGAAATCCTTTGGTGACCTCTTGTCACGGAGGAAACACATGAGAATCCATATTGTGAAGAAACCAGTGGAATGTCGCCAGTGTGGGAAGGCCTTCCGAAACCAGTCCATCCTGAAGACACACATGAATTCTCACACAGGAGAGAAGCCCTACGGGTGCGATCTCTGTGGGAAAGCCTTCAGCGCCAGCTCCAACCTCACCGCACACAGGAAGATCCACACTCAAGAGAGACGCTATGAATGCGCAGCCTGTGGGAAGATCTTTGGTGATTATCTGTCACGGAGGAGGCACATGAGCATCCATCTGGTAAAGAAGCGTGTAGAGTGTCGGCAGTGCGGGAAAGCCTTCAGGAACCAGTCCACCCTGAAGACCCACATGAGGAGCCACACAGGAGAGAAGCCTTACGAGTGCGACCATTGCGGGAAGGCCTTCAGCATAGGCTCCAACCTCAACGTGCACAGGAGGATTCACACCGGGGAGAAGCCCTACGAGTGCCTTGCCTGCGGGAAGGCCTTCAGCGACCACTCATCCCTCAGGAGCCATGTGAAGACACATCGGGGAGAGAAGCTCTTCCCGGCCTCAGTGTGGAAGAGGCTCCAGTGAGCACTCCAGTAGGTGACGGGAACACTCGGACCAGAAAGGAACCTTCAGATGTGAGGGAGAAGCTCTCACCTTACAGAGCACAAAAGGAACGTAGGCGAAATCCAGTTGGTGTGAAGCCTGTGAGAAGACAAGTTGTTTCTCATCAGTTGGGAGAACAACACCGTGGGGGGATGTATCTGGTGTGGAAAAGCCTTCAGTGTACATCTAGTTTGTAAACACATGAGAACTTAGGGGAGAGGCCCAGCTTGGCATTTAACGTCAAGATACTTCAGCAGGCTGGACTGCGGCCCTGTGGTAGAGTGCTTGCCTAGCATGCATGAGGCCCTGGGTTCCATCCCCACCAAAAAAAAAAAAAAAGAAATAATTTCAGCAACACTTTCTCAACCTTTTGGACACATTAGGGAGAATTTTTGTCAGTGCATTGATGGGGGAAATCTTTTCATTCTCACACTGAAGAGAAAAATCTATGGGGTGAGGAATGTGGGAAGTCCATAAAAGGGGTGAGCAAACTAACCAGCTGTCTGTGTTTGTATGGTTCATAAGCTAAGAATAGTTGTTCCATTTTAAGAGGAGAGTTTGTGCAGAGACCCTCTGTGGCCCTCAAAGCCTGAAATGCTTGCTATTTATAGAAAAGCTTTGCTGAGCCTTGGTCCACAGCAGTGGTCCTCAACAGGTAGGGGTTTTGTTCCCCAGGGGACATTTTTGGTTGTTACTGGGGGAGGAGCCACTGACAGGTAGTGGGAAGACATTAGGATGGTGCCAAGCATCCCACAGTGCCCAGGAGCCCCTGCCCCCCCCCCACTTCAAAGAATTGTGTGCCCTACAATAACAGTATGCTGAGGTTAAGAATAATTGTACTTAACGTTGGCACCAAACTAGAAGAAATTTCTTTTTAATTTTTTTTTTTAATTAACATGGTTCTTTGAAGAAATTTGTAAGAACTTAACATTGCTGATAATCCCTATGTGTCCCCTCACTAGTGCAAATGAGAAGCTTTGATGGTATTCTCCAGTGAACGCAGGATTGCACTTCTCAGTCCTTCATCATGAAAACAGGCCCTAGCTCATGAATTTCTAGTCTTTATTTTTAAGGTTATGCTCCTCTAAATAACCATTAGGCCTCATCACAAAAGGTTTGTATATAGTATTTTTACTGTAGCTTCATTCTTAAAATACCTAATTTCCTTTTGGACAACTTTCTTGACCAATGGCATATTTAGAATTGTGTTACATACTGGGTGCAAAGGTATTTTATAGTACCTATTACTGGTATCTGATTTCAGATGCATTGTGATCAAAGCATGAAGTCAAAAGAATTCAAATCTCATATTCGTAAGGTGTGCTATTTTTTAATGTCTCTTAAACAGATTTTCTTGCAGTTGGTACTGTCTGCATCCCATAACCCTGGCCATTGACAAATAAGCAGAGGCCACTGTATGGGTTTCTGAGAAAAAGCTCTTGAAAAATAGTCCTTCTTACCTAGATTCTTCTCTCCACATTTGGTTCTTTTCTCCCTACGTCTCACCTTGCAAGGAAATTCAGCTCCTAGTGTTGAAAGATTTGTGGTTGTGAAGACAAAAGCCAGTCTAAGGAGGATGCTGCAGCAAAGTCACAGTGAGCAGGGCTTCCCTGTGGCCTCCGAGTGTCTGTGCCAGCCCTGGGTTTGTTAATTCCAGACCTCCTATTACATGAGAAGAAATAAAACTGATTACTGGCTTATGACGCTATGAATATTATTTTTGTTTGCTTTATTTCTTGGTGGGAAGATGCACTTGGTATTTGGTGAGTTTTGATAACTTCTACTTTTGTATGTGGGTATAATGTGTATATTTTGAATTATTGGATAAAGGTTTTTGAATTCTTTAAACTAGATTTCAAAGTTATATTTTAAGTATTTGATGTACTTAGACATTTATTTTCTTGACTTATTTTTTGATAGAAGTCCACAGATGTTCCTTCGCTTACTGTTCAGGTATGTCCTGATAAACCCATCATAAAGTCAAAAAGCCCTAAGTCAAACCATTCTAAGTCAGGGACTGCTGCTAGTTTTCACAAAAGTCCAAGGAAGCAAGTGTTGTCGGCATCTTCATTTTGCACAGGGGAAATCTCAGACAAAAGATTCTTGGTTGCTTATTTGAAGCCAGCCTATTGGCAGGCAGTAGTGCTTGGATTTCAACCCTGGGTCTGGCTCTAGAGTCCATGCCTCTTACCTCAGCCATTGGTCTGAGATGCTTAGGGTTGGTCTGGGGATTCTTGCCCTCTGGTGCTTATGTTTTAGGTGGGATTGGGACATCTGATAAGTAAGGATGTTGTGCATCAGGTGTGGCAAATATAGCAGGAGGAAGCATTAAGCATGGTGATGACAAGAGTGGAGCCGTTGGGTGGGTAAGGAAGGCTTTTCACTTAAAGGGACGTTTGAGCAGAGGTATGCTGAGGGCATATGACAGTGTAATCTGGGGATGAGAACTCTTGGCGGTTCAAAAGTGACATACAACTCTGCTTGGGCCAGCCTTGCAACAGTAGAGGTGTCAGTGGGATGAGTGGAGCAAGTTTGGGCCTCACGATTGATGAGGTCAGAGCTGTACACTGGGAACAAATCACGGAGTGTTTTGTGAGTGAACTGGAAGAACTTTTCCTTCTATTCTCAGTGTGGCAGGTAGTCAGTGGAGGGTTTTGAACAGAGGAGTGATCACTACCTGGTTTATATTTTCAGAAGGATGACTGGACCAAGGTACACACCAAAAGCCAGCTGGAAGGCCATTGCAGAATTCAAGTTAGGTGCAGTGGTGGCCAGATTATTGGTAGTGGGGGTGGTTTATCAGTGAATCAGGATGAAAAGAGCTGTGTTTTCAATTTTACTATGAGATAGTGGTCCCCTGTTTTATATCAATTTATTTCCTCTTCTGCTGATGGTACAATTAGTTGTTTCCATCTTTCCATGTTATGGATAATGCTGCTACACGATATCTTGTGCATACCTTTTGGAGCATTACTTTCTCTAGGAATGTGAAATTTCCAGGTTGTATTAGTAAGTATCGAGGTAATTTGTATGGTAGTTATAACACCTGTGTTTAAAAAGAGGTTTTATTTATTTATTTATTTTTTAAAGAGAGAGAGAGAGAATTTATTTATTTATTTTTTTGGCAGACACAACATCTTTGTTTGTACGTGGTGCTGAGGATCGAACCCAGGCCGCACGCATGCCAGGCGAGCGCGCTACCACTTGAGCCACCTCCCCAGCCCCAAAAAGAGGTTATTGAAATGTGACATAAACATTAAAAAAGGTGCTTAGTTAATGAGTGGACAGTTCTGTTGGTTATCACAAGAACACATCCTTAAAACCACCAAGTCAAGAAAAAAGGATTAACATTTCATAAAACCCCTCTTGTCCTCTCCAATTAAAACATTATGTTGTTTCCCTTGGGTATTTAATCGTTCATCGGAAGTAATATTTTTTATGCCATTACATCTTCTATTCAATTTGTGTATATGAAAACTACTGATTTTATGTCTTAATTTTATAACCTTCTGCTTCACTGAATTATTTTTTTTAGTTTTATCATTGCTTTTCTGAGTTTTTTCAAGTATACTACGCAGCAAATTGAGATAGCTTTACTTGTGTACCCATTCTTAGTCTCTGGTTTTGCTTGTCTGATTGCATTGGCCAGTACTACTAATACAGAGATGTATTAGAAGATCTTTACCTTTACTGTAGATGAAATGACTCAAATGTTTTTTTCTTAAGATATTATCTTGTAGAAGTTAGGTAATGAACAATCCCCCACACTTTCCACTTATTATTCTTCGTTTTTTCACCAGCTTTCTGAGAGCTCTGTCTCAGATACTTAAGACATAAAGTCTCAGGTACCGACAGCAGCCAGATACATGTGACATCATTACAAAGTGGTATTCCAGCCCATGGGAGCCCAAGCTTCACACTGAGGAGGCTAAGAATGGGCCTGGAGAACCAACAAGGATCTCAAACTGTACACACAGATCTTGTTGCTGTGGACTGTGTTCACTCCCTTGTATAGGATCTGCCAATCAACTCACCCCACCGTGGAGAAGCAGCAGCAGCTGATTTAATACAGCCTATGACTATCCTAGGTGTTTAAAGGGTGAGCACAGGGGTGGACTCTGACTTCGAGGCCAGATTTGTTTCTTCTGCTCTTGCTTGGTTCCTTTGAAGGCCTCTCCCTCCCTCCCTCCCACCTAGGGCTTACCACTGAGCTACATCCCCTGTCCCTGCAGCCTTCTGCCTTCTCCCATTTCCACATTGCCATTTTTTGAGTTTCCTTAGCTCATTGCTTGGCTTCACAGTCTTGTTCTGCCTGCCTAGGCGTCATTCCTCACCCAAATTCCTAGGGGAATGCATCAAACACTGCTTAATATTTGTGTGTGGGGACAGGCTGTGGGATTTAAGAGTAGAGTGGCCAAGAAAACACATGGGCCCTTGGGTTTTCAGCAGTTTGCCTCAGAAAGATTTGTGCATCATGCTGACTTACTTTCTCCTTTGTACAAAGTCTTGGGAGTCTTATCAAGTGTATGTCTAAGCTTGTTTCTTGGTTGGAGATTTCCCCGGTCCTTTTGATGCTGTGAATGACTTGTGTTTCTTTGGAAGACCCCAGAGTTCCTTTGGTGGTAGGACACAGCATACTTGGAGACCCTGTTATGTTGACCTATTTGTTTACATCCTTTTAGTTAAACAACTACTTTTATCAACCACATTAAAAATTCTTTGTAATTAAATTCTTGCATACACTGGGAATGAACCTCTGTGGTATCCTCAGAATTCACAACAGGTTGCAAAGGTCTGAGGGGAAAAAATTGCTGACATGTACTATGTAGTTAGCCTTACTGTGGTTGTGTTCATACTGAACATGTACAGATTCTTTTTCTTGTCATTCCCTAAAGAATACAGTATAATTACTATTTATGTAGCATTTACATAATTAATATTAAAAGCCATCTAGAAATAATTTGAGCACTTGCCTCATATATATGAGACACTGGGTTCAATTTCCTAGCATCACATAAAGGTCCATCAACAACTAAAAAATATATTTAAAATGTATATATATGGGAGGGATGTGCCTATGTTCTATGCAAATATGAGGCCATTTCGAATGAGGGACTTGAGCACCTGAGGATTTTGGTATTTGCAGAAGATTCTGAAAGCAGTCCCCCACAGATATTTGAGGGATGACACTTATTTTCTGCTTTTTCCAGGTATTCATAGGCACTTGCTGTGCACACAGGTCACATTCACATGCATCTGCATGGCACTGTTGGAGCAAGAGGACACTCAGATGTACAGCAACCTGGTGGTCAGTACTGTTGAGGAAGGGTGTGGGCTCAACCCACGAACCCTGTGCTGTGCATAGTACACAGTCATGTTTGGTTGCTTGATCTTTTCAGGAAATATGGTCTTCTCAGAAATCCTCTGGAGGCAATTGCCTCTCAGCCTCCCAGTCTCCAAGAACAGGCAGGAAGTAAAAGTAAGAAGCAGGTTGGCAACGTCTACTGAGGATCACATAGTGCTTTCTTTCTGCTCTGATAGCAATTCCTGTTGGCTCTATAAGGCCCTGTATTACTGTATTTATTCGGTTTTCATGTTGCAAGAATTGAAAAATGGTTGCTCAGTCAGAGAGCACTTGCTTCTCCCTGACTTTTTCATGCCTGTGTCAGGCGATCCATCAGTGGGGCTCAGGGACCTGATGGACAGCTGCATGACCACAGGGCTTTCAAGTCTTCCTTTGGCCACCTGTAGCCCCAGATCCCTTCCTCTGCACTTGCAGTCTTCCGCACAGTTCCTTGGATGTGGTCCAGGGCAGTTGCGCATCCCCAAGTGGCAGTGCCGAATGTTCAGTGGTTTTGTCAAAAGTTTTCATAGCTCATTAGTAACATTAGCAATCACTTGCTGGCTTTTGCCTAGGATTGGGAAAAAAGGATGCGTACCACAGAGGCCATACCGCAGGGGAGAACGCTTAGCCTGGAGTAAAGTGGTGCCATTTCTGTAATTAGAAGCTTTGGGAATCTAGCAAAACTGTTCCCTCTGTGCCCAATTTTTCTATCACATAAGTTAGCTGCAGGAAGAAGTAATGAATTCCAGTGGGATTCATTAGTAAAGTGGCCCAGGGCTCTTGCTTCTCATTGCACTTCCCTGCCAGCACTCAGGACAAGGGATCTTGCTCTCTGGAGGGGACTTTTAATTAACCCAATCATCTTGTCTCATTTTCAGTTCCTGGAGCCACTCCAGCAAGGCCGTCTCTGTCTCGTGTAACATTTAAAGAAGTTTCAATTCATTCAGATATTTTCCTCTGTGGGAAACCTATGTATACATCATGAGTTTCATGGTGTTCCTTATACTTAGGTATTGGGAAGAAAGAGATCAATAAGACATGTTCTTGTCCTTAACCAAGTAAGGGTTTGGGAGCAGAAGTGAACAATAACAGCTATTAGGGCTAGTCCATTCAGGAGACCCCAAGAAGGGGATGTTGAGTGGGGACAATCAGCATGTAGAAAAGTTGATACAAGCTAAGTGAGAGGCTTACTAAGAGATTCAGGAACAGAATTTAGTGGTTATGTCAATCCTGAATGCAGAGGCCCAGAAAAAAATGACTTCATCAGGTTCTTGAGATAAAAGGATCATTGGAGTAGGAGATAAAGCTGGAGGGTTAAGACAGGATAGTTTATATACAGCATGCACCAAGGATACATGTGTCAC